CGCCACATCGTGGCAGCACCTACTGGTCGGTGACGTCAGCGCTATGATCGCCCCTTCCCGCCAGAGTGTGCTGATTGCTTGTTCACAACCAAATGCATGGGGCTTTCAATCTATAGTGTTATATATAGTCAATGGTATCGCCCATCACTAAGACTAAAAACCCTGCGACCAGATGATAGAATATGCTATTTTAGGAAGCTACTGTGATGCTCACCAGGGTTGCCAACATACTTGTAAAATGATTAAAAAATATAACGTTTAAGGGTTAACCAGAACATTGGGACGTCTAATTGTTTGTGATGGAGGATACATAAACATAACAGACATTTTTACATATAAATTTGTTATTTACGTGAGTATTTTTACATATTGAGTAAACAATCTTTTAAGAAATTATTTCAAACTAGTGGCTTGTAGGGACATAAGTCCCTAAAAAGCTTAAATGTAAAACAACTTTTTGCAATACCGGTATTTAAACAAACTCAGAATAACATTATCTATGTGTCAGAATAGGCATCCCTACACCATATCTTTTGTGTAAAAACCAGTTTGTTGTTCTTCTTTGTTTGCTTTTGTTGATGTCATTTTCAATAAATAATTTGAATCACTCCAGTGGTTTAACATGAAAAGGCAGCAAACATATCATTGTTTGTGAATAAAGACTGGTTTACTAAGGTAGCTTTTGGTCTTGTGGTTAATGAGGATAAATAAAAGCTTCCCTGTTTGGAATTTTAAAAATTCATTGGAGGTTCGCCTTCAGATGAATTGAAGACGCCTGCAATTTCATCTGCAGTAGGCTTATTATACCTACGACGATCCATATTTATCCTGTCTACAAACCTAAGTTCTAATTCACTGTCACCTTGTACAACCATTTCTTCCGAAGCTCTTTTGTAAATTTGTGCAAATGGATTTTCTAATAGAATTTCAGCTAGTTTTGACAATATTTCAGGTTTTAAGTCACTATTTTCTCGACGCCTTTGACGAATTTCTGTTGCTGTTGATGTGTCAATAATGTACAATTGGCCATACACGGGGTCTTCATCATGTTGAGGCAGCAAATCTGAGATTGAACGATAAATCTGTCCTTGAATTTTGAAATAGTATGGTCCTTTTCCTGGAATATCTTTCTTACTGGCTGAAAAATAAGCAAAAGCCATCGCACTGTTGCATTGTCGAATGAATTTATACAGTTGTGGGCTCTCTTCAAACAAACTTTTAAGTTCTACATTAGTTTTTGACTGAGGAAGGTTAATAAGTCCGTTATGGCAACATGTCATAAAATGATTATTCGTTAGTTCTTCTCTAAAATGAAGAGCACTACATTGAATGCACTCTTGGTCCAATAATCCTGCATCATGGATCTTTACATTTCTCTCGTCTACCATGGGTCTCCTAAAAAGGGGTTGTAACATATCTTGATTAAGAGGGCGTTGGAGTCAGATTAAAAACCTTCGCTGACACTAACGATGCCAGGAGGAGCGCAGGCAAACCAGTGGCAATTTCCCATTGAAACGTGCGGAACATGCCTTCACTTAAAAGCATATTTTTTTGTTACTGTTTGACTTAATGATTTGAAATATATTTTATTTTAATCTTAATAACATTTCGGATCATGTTTGCGGAATAGTTTCTTCTATGACGTCCTAGCAAAGCTAAAATAAATTGATGAATATATAGGTTTTACAATCTATATTCCTAGAAATCCCTTTACTTTTGTTAAAAAGTCTCCCGCAATAACGATGTGTATCAAATATGCCTTTAATTTGAAACATAGTTCATAATTTTATATTGGCAAATAAGTGAGATATCTGGGCTTAAGTTTAACATTGTTCTTATGGAGGTAAAAATCCAACATGGCCGCACTCCAACGCCCTCTTAAGTTCATCATTATCTACTCTTGCTCTCCTACGCGCACTGTCATTCCTATGAACAGTTCCCCGCCTTTGTGGTATTCCCCTGGCATTCATATTAATTACAGTACTTATAATGAAAAGAATATATATCCAGCAGCCTACATACCAAAACATCTTGAATCCCTGGTGATTTTATAAAAGTATGATCGAATATGATTACTCTACGTTGTATATTCACTGCACTAAAAAAAATTACTTACGAAGGAATGCAAATACACCATTTTAGAACCAATAACATTTATAGGTTATTTTAGTTGTATATATTTACACAACCTTAACCTTAAAATGTGTAGAAATATAAAGAAAACAACATCATTTAAAATAAACTTGAACATATGATTTAAAAATAAAAACAAAACAGAAGTTAGATTTAATTTTGACTCTTTGATTATTTATACAGAATATTTATTCTATGTCGTTTATTCCTTTAACACGACAATTAGGTAAAAGCATGAAAAAATGAAACTTGAGTATATGATTTAAATATAAACAAAGAATGCAGACGTTTTTCCGACTAATCTTCAATATTTCAGTTTTATTATAGTATACATTTCATAGTTGACTGGCTAAAAGTAAACCAAATGTGTGTATTGATCACTGTTTTCAAATCTGTGGCACAGCTGTTTTAATTTCAAAAGATGTAAACAATTTAAAACCCATGTTGTTTTAATGGGAAAAGTTTTATTCTGTTGCGAATTTATGGTAAAAAAATAAGAAAAATGAATAGTTTTTCCCTCAAAATTCACGTCAAGACCTTTAAAATAAGACCCCTCCCATCCTTCTACGGCCATCCAGTCACTCACAATTTCTTTACAAAAATTTGACTTACGGAATTATATATACTAGTGGTCGTCCAGTGGTCGAAACTCGACCTAAAATATCCAATGTACAGGCTTCTCTATTTTCACCCCACGCTGTAAATAAAACATGTGATTGTGATTTCTTCCATTTGTTTTGATTTTCTGTTTATATTTTGTTGTTATTTCGTCGCCAACATGGCAACCCATAAAGCCCATGTAAATTTTTTTTAAATTTCAAATCCATTTTTTGTGCTTATATTTGAGCCTATTTTAATTTTTAAAGGGATTCTGCACTTCTACAGGAAAATATCTTTCTAAAGGTATGCGTAGATTTTCCCTGCGATGCACACGAGCTGAGAAAAAAGGTTTTAAAGAAACATGCTTGCCTATTAATATATAGATAGATATATAGACTAGTGTACATATTGCTCGAATTCGAGCAATTGCAAAGTATCACAGGAGTTATTTCAAAACGAATAACAGTCACATTTACAATGAGTTTAAAAGAGTCAACTCAAAGATTACGGGTGTGTAACTCAGACCAAGTTTATCTTCGTTATTGATAAACCTAAAGCATTCCAGCCGGTTTTCTCCTTCTCAAACTGCCTCGCTGTACATGCAACACAGGTCATTGATTGAGGGCCAATTGAGAACAAAAAGCCGTTTTGGGGTAGTGTTAGGGCGCATTTGTAACCTAATAGTTGATATTGTCCAGGGTCAGGTGCTGACTGTGATGAGTTAAGCCTATTACGCGCCACTGTTATGTAGCTGCGGTCGTTATCACAACTACGCCTCCTGTCTATGTTTCGTTGTTGTCACGTCGGAGGCATTTAAAAGAAAAAACAAGAAATAAACAAATTATTGCTACACAAAACAACGATAAACGCACAAATTTAAGTTACAATCATGCTAACACGATCCGTCATAGCGACACAAAACAACGATAAATACACAAATTTAAGATACAACCATACTAACACGATCCGTCTTGGGGTTATGTTTACACAAACTCAAATAGTAAACAAATGTACTCAATGCATTTCATTGAATTGAAATATAAATAACAGCAATTAAATTATACAGCTGATCAAAATGTAAACAATTATGTTCTCCATAAGAATAACATGGGAACTTTCAAAGCCACTGGGGAATAGCGCAAGGGACGCTTTCAAAAATGTAAGGCCAGTTTCTTTCCAATGAGACGTCAATGGATAAAATCGGTTAAGAAATGGCGAAGGAGTTCAACCGACAAAGTTTCATGTAGCGTATTAATTATATAGATATTCAACAATTAAACCTTTAATGTGTAAAACAATAGCATAGACTAAACAACACAAGTAGACTCCTCATCCCATTGTAAATTTTGAAGCGAAGCTTGTTTTTCGTGTCTAGTTCATGTACGTCCACACTGATCGCTGGGGTGGATAAAATTTGGTTTATATTATTTTAGGGCTATTTTCATGATTTGTGCTTTACTATTTGGTTATATAACCAGTTATAGTTTATGATTATATCGTTTTATTTGGTTAAATGAGGTTTTAAATTACTGGAATAACAAGAAACCAATTGTGAACAAAACACGATCTCTACAGTTGGACGTAACAATAAAATTGGCTTCAGCTGTTCCATAATGATGTCAAATCAAATCAAATCAAATCATTTATTATCATGGACATTTACATGCATTGACATTGTCAGTGGAGCAGAACATAAAATTAGGGTGTGCGCCCTGTCAGCAGATGAATGTTGAGCTAGTGAGGTTATCCTGCCAGTTATTGAGATTATTTGTGCACATCGGACTATGTTTTTAAGCAAAGTTTTAAAAATGCCCATCTTTTAACCTTTAGCAACCATTTAACCGTTCACTTTAACAAGCTTATGAAGAGGACCATTCTTGTTTGAAAATTTATCATACTTTTTTTGTAAATAACGAATGTTACACTAAACCGCATAGATTTTGAGATATTTTTTTGACACCAAAAACTATCAATTTTCAATGTAACCCTCCCTTCCACCCCCACCCGACGCTCAAGATGGTGTGACTTTTTACCATACAATATGAGGATTATATTGAGCTGTTTGGAGTCAAAAGTTAGCTTTGACTTTGGATGATGAGATTATGCCTTTTTTTTTTGCTAAAAGCACCCTACTAAGGGAAATTTTAAAAAAGAGTCCTTTACTATGATACGAATAGAACGGTTGAAAGAACACCCATAAAGAGGTTGAAATGTAATATAGGATGATGAACTGTATGATAATCAGGAAAATAATAGTAAATACCTCATCAACACCTAAAAGTCAAATTTAATTACCTTTAAAAATTTTATAATCTTTGAGTTACATAATATTATGATTGTTATGAATATGATCTTACAATGTTAAAACATATTTGAGTGAGTATCACTGTTAACACATATTGTCTGCAACTAAATTTATTAGGAATCACAAAAATAGCTGCCACATTTTAAACAAATAGGTTTTAACCTTGATATTTTATATAAAAATAAAAATTCTGTAACATTAGAGAAGAGATTATATTATTGAATTGCAGTAATTCCACGAACAATTAAAACTTTCAACACATATTGCTAGAGCTAACTCCAAGATGGTATATAATAAATGTTATACATGAAACACTATTGAAACATTTTGACTAGGACGGGTGGCGTCGTCCTGTAATCCAGTTACTAGGAGGTCACGAATTGTGGATATTTATAGGCATGCACTGTGGATGCGATACTCCCCAGTGTGGATTAACGTCCGCACGGGTGAGTAAAACAACTATCCGCAGTACTATCCTGATAATTAGACCAATTCGTAATTACCAAGGCAAAAATGTGGTTCGGATTCCACTATAAACTGTAGGTCCCTTAGTTGCCATTAGCTGTATGGGCTATTAATTAACAGCTGTGTCTAAGGAGTGTCGGCCTTAGTCACTAACAAGACTACAAGATCGCGCCACTCATCCTACACTCATCTCCATTCGTACTTAGCTTAAAATACCTACTTTGTATGGTCGCCATTTCATAGAACAGTATTTCATAGATCAGTATTAACAGTACTATTATTTTTTACATTTAAAATAAAACAAATTATATACAACCAAATTACCTTTAAAAATTTTATAATCTTTGAGTTACATAATATTATGATTATTATGAATATGATCTTAAAATGTTAAAACATATTTGAGTGAGTATCACTGTTAACACATATTGTCTGCAGCTAATTTTATTAGGAATCACAAAAATAGCTGCCACATTTTATACAAATAGGTTTTAACCTTGATATTTTATATAAAAATAAAAATTCTGTAACATTAGAGAAGAGATAATATTATTGAATTGCAGTAATTCCACGAACAATTAAAACTTTCAACACGTATTGCTAGAGCTAACTCCAAGGTGGTATATTATAAATGTTATATATGAAACACTATTATTTTTTACATTTAAAATAAAACAAATTTTATACAACCGTTAGGCACAACAAGTTATTGATACAAATATAACCATAGAAATGCAAATTAACAGTTTCACTTCTGGTGGAATTTGACGAATGTCTCTAGAGTGCGAGGTATCTGGCCTCGGTAGAGGATGCCGTACTTGCAGACAGCGGTGGCGGCCAGACATGCAAGACTGGTGTACTGTAGCAGATGGATGTTGTGAGGGTTCTTAGATATGAGTGTCCAAGGACAATCCCCAGCTTTGTTAGGCTGGTCCAGGTGAGCTCCGACATCAAGCAGCAACTGTACCAACTGAAACAACAAATACACTGTATGGAGATTTCTTTAATTGAATTGTTTAGTTTATATAGAGATATGCAAAGTTGTTTTGCACACAAGGCTGTAAAAGGGATGAGATCTTAACACGTTCAATGCGGTTGCGCGATGGCCGACCACGGCCGGTTGCGCAAACAGCTAATGCTCTGCGTGGATGAGTGAGCAAAAACATTTAAATTTAGTTTAATCCAAATGAGAGATATACTGTGTCCCAGTCGTTGTGGACATAGTTTTATAAGAACCCAACACACAGCATACAGGCTCTCAGTATTGCCAAATGGAAGGGAAAAGCAGGACTGAGTACCTGGATACACCATCAAACCGCAAAAGAGCGGTCAAGCACAATGACTCACGGCAGTGGCTAACCTCGCATTGGAACAATAGTTCATAAATGATGCTTTGACGAGTATACTCGTCGTGCGCCACTTGGAAAGCGCTAGTGTTGTGTCACTCGTAATGTGCAGTGAAAGTGTTAAACATCAAAGAAATAGACAGAAATCATAATCGAATCAAATCTCTTAGGTGAATTTTTACATATACGGTAGGCCCCACAAAAAGGATTTAGACAATTGATTTCATATTACTTCCATTTTTACACCAAAAGCTTTAAAACTTAACCAAATTTATAAAGTAGGGTTTGACAGTAGCCTTATATGTAAAAATTAACATAATAAATATAAAAAGAAAATAGGAGCAACTTTTACCAATTTGCTTGAAAAAAAATTACTACCTTGAACTATCACCTGATTACTGTTTACTGCGTTGCATTTTTGACACTTACGTATAGCAGCTGTTTGATTGAAGAATATTGATTTTCAAAAGTAAAAATATCATTGTGTTAATCAATTGATTGATTGGGCATCTAAAATGTTATGGAATTAACAATGGCACTCTAAATTGGTTAAAATCATATTTAGAAATAGAAAACAATGAGTCATGATGAAAAAAGATACAGTAAAAATTAAGTTAAGTTAGAATCTAATTGAAAATGATTTCACTACTAGGTCCATTATTATTATTATTATTATTTTAAGAGGTTGGCGGCCTCTTTTAACCTTGCATTTGCCCGTCCACATAGACTAACCGCCCGTGCGTGAATCGTATACAGCTTAGCAAGGAGTGAGCCGGTACAGTACAAAGGTGATCTGTACTGATGAAATGTTTTCGGCAGTGACCAGGATCCGAACCCACGACATCGCTGCCTTGGGCCCGAAGTCCGCGAAGCTACCGACTGAGCCACCGACTCACTAATTTATTCTATATAGCTATTAATGATTTAAATATTAATAATGCTGAAGTATTTTTACATGCTGATGACACCTCACTTCTATTAAGGTGTTCTGATGATAGAGAATTAAAGACAGCATATTACAGTCTAACCTTGATATAACGAGCCTTAATTTAACAAATTCCTAGATTTAACAAACTCCCCACATTATTGTTTTTTTGTTTTTTTCTATCACAGTTCCATTGATAAAAATTAAATGTGAATATGACGTCAACACTGTGCAGACCTGTATCATCTGCTCCGTTTTCACATCTGTCTGCTGTGCGCTATGTCACAACTGATTTCTGTAGTAAAGTAGAAGAAGTATCCTTACATATAATATGCAAAGGCGATTTCTACAAAACACTACTCCTCTGTTAATAATGGACGTATTTTAACAAATGATTTGTCAAAATTAAGTATTTATCGCGTAGACACCCCTTTCACCAATTTCTGTAATAAAAGTCCTCGGGCTTTGCCCCACAGGCCATCAAAATGCCTATGTATTTCTAATGAAGAAAAGATTTTGTTTACTTAAACAGACGAATAACTTGTATTAATCACAGCTGTTCATAGTGAACACATGATACACAGAAAAGCGTTTGTTTTCAAAGTGAGTTCTTTTTCAGTTTCGATAACTGGAATGGAGTGATTACATTATCTTTGAGTTGACTCTTTTAAGTCATCGGAAATTATGACGGTTATTCGTTTTGAAATAACACCTAATACTTTGCAATCTCTTGAATTCGAGAAACAGGAGCACAAGCTTTAATTAATAGTTTAAGGACAGACAATAGTCGAAATTTGCCCTCAAGCGATAAGACGTCAACCCCGCTTTAGAGACTGAGACGGACGACAGTTCGAGTACAGACACAGGTTAGTAAAGACATAATTGCCTGTTCTGGTCAATTCTAACTATAAGTGTTTCTATAGCCGAGTTCAGTATAATTAAATTATAGTTGTATTAGTAACTTGATTATTACAATTTTATTGGCTGGGGACTGATGGAAACGTTATGCTCAATAAACTGTAACTGGGTGATAAATAACCATAGCAAACTCTAGCATGATGTAATCGGGCAATAAGCAACCACGGTGACTTGATTTGAAGATGAAGAGAAACATTCAAAAATGGATAGAAGAGCATAGAGAAAGAATAACAAAATCGTTATCTTTAATTTCTTTTTAAAATTGAGATTTTTGTTTACGCAAAATTACATTTTTATAGGTTTGAAGTCTAAAGTATTGTAGTTAAGTTATCAATTATTTAAGAAGGAGAAACCACCTCGTATTTCAACCCAAAATATTAGTGTAGACTGGGGATGATCTGTGTAGCTTTGTTACTGACTAAGATCAGCTGGTTCATTAATAAAAATAGTTTATTTAAAACCAAATACTACTGCTTATCTACATAGTCGCCAAACAAATTGGGATACTTCTCATAGCGGTGAGTGAGTTTTTAAATACCTTTGTTGTAGAACTTTATTAAAATAATTTTTGTTTTATGGTTGCTTTTGGTGGTAATATATCTAAAACTTATACATTAAAATCTTTTTTCTGTTTAATGATCAAAGTATATTTAAATATTTTTTGTGAAATGCATTAGCAACATTAGTTTACGTAAAAGCTTAGTAGGTATACTCACAGGACCGTAAAAGTTGTAAGGATTGGCTGCCACATGCAGAGGTGTAGACTTGGACTCATTTTTTGCATTCACAGGCGCGCCACATTCCAACAGTAGTTTGATCACTTTCATGTTGGGAAATATTAACTGAAACATTTAAAAAATTCAAATGATACCATAACGGTTTTAGCCAAAATACAGTAGAACCGTATATCTCTTTATGTGCAAAAATCTTGGTTAAAGCTCAAGAAGAATGGTTTGGTAACCAGAGAGGAGCAAAATCACGTATCACAATAGCAAAAAAAGTGTCAGATAAGCAGTAAACTCATTCACAAAAAACAAATTCTGCATAATCTACTGTAAAAATAAATTGTATGCCTACGCAAGGTATGTTTGAAAGAATTTTTAGTTGTTGCAAAAACCAGCTTTGTACGGAAAAGTTTGGTAGAATCTAATATGATCAGATTTCCTGAGGAGTTGGTTATATTCAGGTTGGAAATTTTACTGTACGATTCTCAAGAGAAGAAAGGTACAGAGAAAGCATTCAATGGTGAAATTAAGTGGTGTCTAGCAGTTATTAGTTTATGGTGTCTTGTACTAATCACTTCTCCTAACCCCCTCACACTTCTTTCCCTCTTGCCATCACATAACTATTATAACGCTCATGCTGGAAGACCTTGTGCGATAGGAACTTCCGCAAAGTGCTTGCCGCTCTGGCTCGTCACAAGTATATTGCCACTAGCAGGTACGTACCAACATGGACAACATATTAGAGCTGAAAGCACAAGTCCCATAAGCAAGTTTCTTATACTTTCCTTACTTCTTAAGTTTCCTTAATTCTCGGTGAGTATACTTTTGACACCTCAATATTTTTATGAAGTGTACTAGAGGATGTAGGCTTACCTGGTTGTCATCGCTGAAGTAGCTGCTCTTGATCGTGTTGAGCCGAGACACACAGAGATGCAGCAGTGTATCGCCGGTGGTGGCAGAGCGAGGGTTGGACAACACCAGGCTGTGGACACACTCGTACACTTGCCTCTGCTGCACCTCACTACGCGCAGTCTCCACCAGCAAGTAGATCAGGTGCGTGATACACTTGAGTATCCGGTCAAAGCTCTCCTGTTGTCTCTTGTACACCGGACGTATCTGAGACCAAAACAACACAAATTACGCCCATTTAAGATGTGATTCAACAATTGTTTTAGGAAAATAAATGGATAATAGGCTAAACCAACGATAATCTGGTCAAACTCAGGTTTGCCAGTAATCTGGCTGTCTTAAATATTGATCTTTTGGTTCTGATTCTAGCAATTTACAAGTCACTGTGTGTCCAAACTATCGCCTCCAGTTCTGTCCCATTGCAGCAAAGTTTTGTTTGTGGAAGGTTATATCAAGGTTAAAGGTGTATCAGCGGCTCGATTTTCGAGCTAAACCAGACCTAAGCAAAGTCAGAGAATCTAGCCAAGCCTCTGACTGCAGGAGATGTTCTTAGTTTTGCCATTATTGCAGGGGACAATAGAGATGTCTGATGAAATGTTCATGATTTTACCGGATTCACTATGTACTCAATTTTAATGTATTTCCCTCATTGCCATCCACTAGTCTGGCTCTTTCACCCATTCCTAGCTAAGATATGACTGAATTATTGAGAGACTAAAAAATTACAAATTACATAAAACATCACTAGACTGCCTATACAATTTTTTCAATTTGTAAATGAAAGCCAATATATAAGTAGCTATTAATCTAGTATAAGCTTTTCCCCTTTTGTATCCTATATAAACTAAAACCTGAGCTGTATTGGACTTCAAAACTTTTTAAGGTTTTATATCTGTCGGCCTCTGCTGTATGGTTATAATTAGCACAAAATAAATAGTGTGTTCAGTTTCTCTTTAACTGCATATTCTACGACCTAACCTGTATTTCTTCAAGGTCAGCTAACTGCTATCCTCCTTATTCTACAATTCAAAATCCATGGCCTAGTGCCTTTCCTTGATCAAATCTTATTAATATTACCTACAGCATTTAGCAAATTTCCCATTCAGGGAATAGTGTAAGCCTGATGCCCCAGGAATGATTCTCTTTTTCGTTTTTATGTCCCCAGAGATCTAAAATAATATCTGTTCAGATTTACATATAGGCCTATACTGTACGGTATGTATCTATTAGCACGATAACTTGAGTAAATATGATCCAATTATGATAAAATTTGGTATAAACATGTAAATATACTTTATTTTATTTTAACAAGTATACACACTAGTATGATTTGACTTTGAGAACAGGGTCAAACATAAAATTTCTCAATTTACTTTCTGGACCTTATTTGGTATCTTGAAAAATAAACTTAATTCCCATTCTGCACAGTCACTCCTTACATGATTTTTTTTAACAAACAAACCTCAAGAAGTTGTCGACAATCTGATAATTTGTCAGTGAGCAGGGTAAAAGTAGCCAGCACATCGTCAAATCGTGGTTCATCTTCAACTCTCATGTTTGCATTCCAAACAACTTCAAGACTCTTCTCATTGAGATCAACAAAGAGACGAACAAGTGCCTGAGCAGTAAAACATGTGTCGCTAAACAACACCTGAAAAATAAAAGTGTTGTAGTAATACACTAAGTAGATGACAAATTGATCATTCCATAAAATTTGATTACACCCAAAACATACAAGGATGGATCACGAGTTGCAGTTTTATAAGTAAATAACATCATCGAAGTTCAAATCAAAACGCCTGATCTCCTAATTATTAACAGACAAGTTTTTAGACACTAATTCTATTCATGACAGTTTTCATCTTAACAAGGCCTTAGATATTGAGATGTGGAAATTTCTTTCTCTTTAAAATTTAATTTGACTGATAATCTTTTACGGGGTTTGATTTTTGAGCAGAGCTTTCATTCTCGGAATCGCCAAAATTGTCTTATCAAAAATCACTATTTCACCGTGACTGTGGGAGACAATGATGAAGTCTCCATCCTATAAAATGAAAAGATCAACTAACAGTTTATTATATGACAGTTTTGTTTTACATAAGTTAAGAGAATGTGCTACAGTTAGGCTTTAACTTAATTTTTTTAGAGAATCATAGCTTAATGTAATTTAGTCTATTTAAATATTGCAATCTTTTTCTTAAAGCATGGTAATTTTTGCGTAGAAGTTAAATAAGATGACTCTTTAACATTTTACTCTTTAAAATTTATCAGAATATGATAAAACTAAATGACTTACCGAGTCTTTTTCAACTCTGATTTCTAGAGCTCTCTTCCAGAGGTCTATGCACCGTTGATACATGAGGTCATCAGCATAAGCAGCTCCTCGGTACATTAAGCGAAACAAAGTATCCTTGTGTGTTGGTCCAAGCACTCGCTCGCATACAAGCAAACTTTGTATTCTCATTGCATCCAAGTCTAAAGCTATATTTTGAAGGTCTTCCTCAGTTCTGAACTCTCGTGCATGTCCGAATGCAGCTCTTGGAGGCAAGTCAGGTCTCTTTGGTAGAGGTTCACCGTTGGTGCCATGTTGTCTCCTCAAACTGGTGGCTAGCTGCCAATGCAACAATGCAACCTTAAACAATACAAACATTTATTTTTTACAGATTTATTTCTTACTATATGAAGACCTTGTAGTTCCGAATCCAGAACATGAAATTACATGTGTGTATATATATATATGTTTTAAACTATAACAGATCTGATCGGGGGAGCAAGCTGGTCTAGTGGTTAGACCACAGAAGTTCAAATCCTGCCAAATCACCAATGGATTTTATGGAAGTGATATTGCCACAAGCCCTAGGTCTAGCCTGAAGTAACGTGAAAAAAATATTCCTGGGCTTGTGCCTAACGTCATAGGAAAAAAACAACAGATCAGATTACCGTATCAGATCAGGTTTGTGAAGACAGGTGCCTCGGTCTAAGGTGTTGAAAAACTCAAAACAACAGGTCTGAAAACATTTAAATGACACTTAAAAAATTAGTAGCTAAATAATTTGTGGGTATGAATCTAAAACATAACAACTAGGCCTAACTTATACCTATAGGGTATAAAATTGATTTAACAATATCTTATAGGCCTAAGTGAATCATAATGTTAAAAAGTTTGTTCTTAACACTCAGCTTACTTAGCCTACAAGTTCTTTTACTATAGTTACAGTAGCTTAACTAGGCTACGCAAATATGGTGACACCTTTTATGGTTACAGTAGGAATAGGATGATTTATCCTTCACCTAGCTGAATTAGGCTACTTTGCTTAAGTTGTTCTACAAGATTTTTGATTAAGTCAACATAACAAACTAGTAAATATTATTTGTCATATATAATGTGTGGCTAAAATTAAGCCTTTTTGTTAGTGTGTATGGCCTAGTCTAGACTAGCCCAAATTATATGCTTACTTGTGAATCTGAATGTTCATCCAAAAATGTGGATCCCATGAGTTCATGAGCATCAGCTAACCGTTCTGGTTCATATGGGATTCTGTCAATCAAGTAGGTAAAAATTTGAGCTGCACCCTTTAGACAGGCTGTCTGCAGAGCATCATCATTGTAACGGCTGCGAGCATAAGGATCAGCTCCATGGTCTAGCAACAGCTTAGTTGTTTCAAAGCGATGCTCTTGAATGGCATAATGCAATGCAGTTTTGTTCTGAATATCTCGGGCATTAACATGAGCACCATTTTCCAATAGAAACTGGCATAACTGAACACTTTGGACAGAATTTATAAGGCATGTTCCTCCATTATAGTTTGCTATCAAAATGTCTGCACCACATTTAACCAAATACGACACAATGTTCATATGGGTCATAAAACATGCACTTCTAACTGGAGTTGATCCTGTATCTGATACTGCGTTTACATCAGCACCATGCTCTACAAGACATCTGATAACAGGAAGCTTTCCAGAGACAGCCGCACACCAAAGTGGCGTAACACTATGGACCGATCGGTCATCAGGAACTTCGTACAGACCTCTTTGTTCGATATCAGCATCACATACAGTAATGAGATATTCTACAATTTCTAAATGACCTCTTTTACACGCTATGAACAAAGGAGCACAACCATCTTTGATCCGACTGACAATTTCCTTTCTGTGTTCTTTGGCAAATCTTTCTAATCTTGTCCTTATTGAATAAGAAAGCCTTGCACCCGGAGCTGCATGTCTACACTCTTGAATCAGATCACTAAAAATTATGTCTTTTTGATTGCTCAGATCAACCTTGCTGCTTGAAAACCACATATCAAATTTTATAAATATTTCGTTTCTAATTCCACAAGAATTCAGGTTGATAAAATAAAGAATGTTATCATAGATTAGACACAAGATTGATTTCAATGTGACTCTGATATAATTGGATAACTTATACACAACTAAAGCACTGGTAATTATTACCATAACTGGTAAAACAGTAACATTTGTAAAACTATAAAAACACTTATCTCGATAAAAATAAACAAAGATTTTCACAACTAAATAAAGACATGTTTACACTAACATCTTCTTACGATCAACCAACCACTAGTTACTTTTGTTTTGTGCACAAATGACAGACCTCAGTCTCAGTCAGTACTAGAAAATAAAAAAATGTCAAAATGTCTAGAATACGACGACGACACTCAAACGACCAATAGAAACCAAAAGAATTATTTGTCAGCTGATCTCTGACAGAGCTTAGATGGTGATTACTAAATTACAATGATTTCTACATATTATTGTCATCACTATACAAAGTTATATAATCTATTATAGTTTGTATTACTAAATTAACTATTTATATTGATATTCACAATCCAGTAGATAAATAGTATGAGAGCGTTAGATATTTCCTAACTAAAAACATTAAAGCATATGTTGTATGCTCAATTTCTCCACGTACAATAGATTCTATAATAATACCATAGAAATTCTATGGTAAAACTCTATGATAGAATTAACATACTTTCTTTGAAATTCAATGTTTATATGCTCCATAAGCATTATGCTTAGTTATAATTACAGTATGTAGTTTTCGTTTAGTTATTCTATGATTTCTGGCATATTCATTGGCGATCGGCTAGTCTATGTAAGCTAAACCGCCAAGACTCCGGAGCCGTACCATTGACTATATACAGTAACACTATATAGTGTTTCACATTGTGTTTTATTTTACTACTAGCTGTAACCCGCGGGCTTTGCCCCGTTTAACGTCTTAATTTTCAAGAAACGTCTTAATTTTCAAGAAACGTCTTAATTTTCAAGATGATCTCGTTCGCATGGCTCAATCACGTCCTGGTTGAAGTTCGTTCGCTACGCTCACTCACATTTAGGTTGGAGCTCGTTCGCTACGCTCACTGACCTATAGGTTGGAGCTCGTTCGCTGCGCTCACTTGCCTTCAGGTTAGCTCGTTCACTACGCTAACTCGCCTCCAGGTTGAAGTTCGTTCGCTACGCTCACTCACCTTTTGGTTGCAAATTAGCTGTTGTCATAAATGTAAAAGAAATAATAGTGCTGCACCCTGTTGGTAATCCTTGTAACTTTAATGCTATTGAACATCATAGAAAGAACAGAACCAACTTGTTTAATTGAAACAGCTGTTAAGATAGTGTTAACACATACAGTAGTGTACTCCCGTTGTAGCCCGTAGTGTAGTTGCACTCAGCATCGCGCTTGACACTCGCTAGAAGCTAGTGCGTTTCCTGGTGAAGCCTGGGGGGTCTTTTTCGCATGCCAGACCTTTAAATTCAATCACCTCCTTATACTTATGCCAAATAAGAATCGCTCTTGACTTCCAATATCTATTCCAAAGTTCTCTTACCACTCAGTCGACATTGAATTTTGAAAAATCCCTATATCTGCTACACGCATATACTAGAAAAGCTCACCCTAACATTTCAATAAAAAAAAATTAGAACGACTACGACGTAGTCAAAATCAAATAACTGTAATTAATTTTAAATAATTATGCACATTAATGTATCCTACAATCCATCCATCTTTTGTTGGTCAAGGTTGAATAAATCAAGTATAACACAATATTTTCATTGAATGGCGTTACTTACTAAACTAGTATAATCAATGCTAGTGGAACCTTAAATGAACAAATTTGCTTTTACACGATTGAAGATCGGAAGATCAAACAGAAAATAAGCAATGTGATTTCATAAAATAACATATCAATACACAGGTATATTTCCCAATGAATACATTGAAAAATTGATCAGTTAAAGCGAATATATGTACAGTATAAACACAAAAGCCATACGCGGGGCTATATGAGTGTTGTAGACCAAATGCGGAACTTCTTATAGTACCAGACCTACCGGTAGTTAGTTACTTCAATGCGCGCCGACACCAGTGTTTCCGGTTCATGTTTATGAATAATTACATCGCATGATAAACAAATCCGTGTCTTAGCTACAACTTGTGATACGCACGAAACATGCTAATGTTAATAAGAACATATCATATCGATCTCCCTTGCCACCATTTGTTTATTTACCTCAACAAACCATCATAACATAGAGAGTTCATTTACTTTCAAGTAGATTGTAAAATTTGTAGAAAGAATTAAAGTTTGATTTACTTGGTACTGTGAAGAAATATTTTGTAGAATTACTTATTATTGGTTTGGATGTTAATCATTATATTGTAGTTATGGACAAGGGTAGACCATTTGATCATGAAATAATTGAAGAGAATTGTATATCTAAAGATTTTAGCAGGTGTGGTATCAAGTCCATCCCAGATGAAATTCTTTATAAACTAGTAAATATACAGGTAAGCTTTACTGATAGTAAGCCTGAAATGTAGCTTATTCTAATCTGTGCAGTGTGCATGCTGTTTTGTAAACACACTTCTCTAGAATTTGTTAATATTTTATGATGAACTTGTCAGTGTTCGGAAGTAGCATGCAGCAATTTTTGTAGCGTAAGTTGTAGCTTTTGCTACTGTTCAGGATTATAGCTGCAGCAAGCTTAATTTCTTTTACTAGCTGTATCAAATTATTAGATAATATTTTAACACTTGGTTACGAGTTTTTAAAACACACATTCCAGCCCCCAATCAAAAATTATCTGTTTGTTAACAATTTCCTACATAGCCTACAGCTATTCCTGTGTATGACAACTTTGGTTAGTTTTAAATTATTGCTAAAAGATAGAATAATAGAAACCTATGCAAAAGTAGTTGTGGTCATAGTTGTAGACATAGTAAACTTTTGAAATGTGGGTGTAGCTACATTTTAAAAGTAGCTTCCCCAACACTGGTAGGCCTACTTGTAACTTCATGCCTTATGAAATATGATGGTACAGTGTGGGCTGAACTTCAAAAAAAGTTTAGATGAGTTAGGGGTCTAAACAGGAATGATTCAAAGAAGATACATTAATAATGCACTAGAGCATATCCAGGATCAAGGAATAAAGGATTATTATTTCTTCGTGCAGAGAATGAAGAATCTATATATTTAACCAGTTGAGCTGATTTCTAGCTGTTGTTACCCAATAGGATAAAAATCACAAATATGTAAGCTATAGTGGTTTAAATTACCCAAATTGTTAGGTACTATCGGAACGATCCTTTGTTGTTTGTTAAGACTACAGCTGTTTCATACTTCAAATGGAGCAAATCAGGTCGGAAGAATGTCACGTAGTCTTCATTTAAATATTCCTCGTGGTGGAGTTCGTCGAAAGTTTGATAAATAAGTGACAAAACACATAACATGCAACACAGAACTTCCTACCTAATGATGTTCTCCATTTGAAGCATAGCTGTAGTCTTAACAAACTACAAAGAATTGTTCCAAAAAAAAACCCAGGTAATTTAAACCACTATATAGTTAATTCTGACGAACCAGAGGCCATTTCATCATGAATTATGATAGGTAGACGGAATAGCTTAGTCCAGTACAGCGCCGGATTTTCTACTAGGCCAGCTACAGGCAAATGAGGCCACCGTGGTTTGTAGAAAAAAATTTGTAGAACAATATTTGAATTTTATTTTATAAAATTAAAATTAATAATTTTCCACGATTGTGTCTAACGATAATGTCCCCGGGAAGATGTTGACGATTTTGTTGTGATTGCGGGTGACGATGGCATAATATCCCAGAAATTTAATTTTAAGGGTGGGGGCTGCAGGGATTAATTTGGCCTAGGGCCACACCTATTCTAAATTCGGCTCTAAAGTCAAACCTTGTTAGTACAAACCTCGGCAAAACGAATTCCTCGATAAGAATTAAAAAATATCCCCTTGAATGTTTTGTAAAGGTCAATGCTAAAAACACCTCTATATGGCATAATCATTTAGGTTAAAAACCTCCATAAGACCAAAACGAATTTGTTTGTGACATGGACTAGGACTGATTAACCTCTACAACAAATATTCTTAGACTCTCCATTTTGTAGCATTTTGTCGTGTGTTGGCATTTACTTAGTAGGCTCATGTTTAGATATTCTCTTTATTAAGAATACCACAATACAGTAATACAATTTTACCCCCTGCCCCTAGAAATTTGTCTCATAGAGGTTTGACTGTAGTCAACATGTGTAATTTATAGCCCCAAAGTAACTCAACTTTAGACTATATAGCATAACACAGCGATTAACTAACTTAAAAAAAACTTTAAACAAATTTTTTATTTTATTTTGCTATTGTCTATTTAAAAAGTTTTGATGTTGTATAGGGCTTGAAAATCATTTTTCTCTTCTCCACTAATATTTTTTTTGCAGTACCTATTAAATAATTTTCATAAGGGAGATTTTATTTTAATTCATTTTTAAATTTCAGTACTTATACTTAGAAGGGAATGACTTAACAGAGTTAAACCCATCTTTGTTCCCGACTTTACGAGAACTAAGGTGGCTTGACTTGAGAAACAATAAATTGAGGACCATTCCTAACTCAGTAATGGATCATCCATCTCTGCAAGTTTTACTGCTAGAGGGCAATCATTTAGAAAGTATTCCTATTGAAATAGGTAAGTCTGATTCTTGTTTAATGTGTTTTGATAAAATTTTCAACAGCTAAAAGTAAAAGAGAGTAACTTTACATCTTAAATCTATGATATTATGATAAGGGATCTTATAGTTTACAAACACTGTTACTTTTGGTTTGGCATGTGTAAAAGAATGAAACCATCCACCCAACCCCATATATTCAGTCAAGCCAAACCTTTATTTTATTTCATATCATCTACCGTTTGGTTACGATTGCAGAGTATAGTTTTATAAGGCTTACTTACAAACTGCTCGAGCAATGTAACGAAAAAATTTTGTCTAATGTGCATAAGAACACAAGCAAATTTCCAATTAGAAAAAAATGGTAGGACTATAAAAGCCAGTTTTTGTTGAAAATAGTCTTTAAAATATCTTTATAAAAGTTATACTTGATATGTTTGTAATTTTTTGTTAACCTTTACAAAAATTATAAAAATCAAACATCCCTGATGATGAGATGATGAGCTGAAACTAGGTGTGTTTTCTTCAATTATTTGGATCATTTGCCGAACAGCAGGTATTTAATAATATTTTTCAAATTTATTCAAACATTTTCAGGATCTGTAAAAACACTGAGGGGCTTGCAACTAGCGAGAAACCCACTCGAGTACCCTCCTCCCCACATTGTCAACCAAGGGGTGCAAAGCACTATAGAGTTTTTACAAAAAGAGTGGCTTCAAATGCAGTCACCTCAACAAATACATCTCATTTCAGAGACCCATTCACAAACCAAGACAGCCCAATCCAAACAAGGTACTGTATTCGATTATATGACATGTGCTATGTTTACTAAACTTAAAAACGTGACCTGAGTTATTATAACTTATACAAATTTACAGAAAATTAACCTCCACCATCTAACAAATAAGGTAATTGGTGTTTTTAGTTTTATCAACTTACAACGACTCATAATATACAAATAATATCACCAGATTACACCATAAGTTGATGATTAGGCAATTTACTGATATTGATAAAAACATTTCCGTCAGCATTAACACATTCAAATAATACTGATTAGCATGCACAGACCTGTATGATGACATTATGTAGAATGTCCATCTGCTATAACCGTCAAATAATACCTATATAGCATACCTGGATGAGGACATTATCTAGAATGTCCGTCTGCAATAAATGTCAAATAATACTGATCAGCATACCTGTATAAGGACATTATGTAGAATGTCCATCTGCAATAACTGTCAAATAATACCTAGTATACCGATGAGGACATTATCTAGAATGTCCGTCTGCAATAAATGTCAAATAACACCGATGGGCGATTAGCATTATTAATAATTTTTACTACCTAGAATTTAATTATTTTTTTTATCAATTAACATTATATAGAATTTACCCCAGATTCCCCCTAACTTTGAAAATATACTTGTTCTTGTTAAGATTTGGAAGTTTTATCAAGACATTCCATTACCATCATCAAGGTAATAGCTGGTTCCCAAACTAGAAGCCAAGTCAGTTTGACATAATGTTTTCCAGGACGAAGGCAAAAGGTGAGTGGGAGTAAATCAGCTGTGGTAAACAAGGTAGGAGAGCTAGATAACTCGCACCTGAGTGCAGCAAATCTCAGCAGGTGTATCAATGTACAGCCCATCTCCCGGGACAGACGACAGGCACCTCAAGATGTGGGACAGGTCAGTGCTAGGTTACTGTACTGTACTTCACTTAACCCATTGAGTAACTCATGTGTGTCATGTCCTCATGTTATAGTGGCAATGAACCTTTTTGGGCCCACGGTGGCAGGGTAGCTCTGTTGACTGAGTGTAGCAATGAGGTCTTTCGACATGCATGGATTCGAATCCTGTACATGTACAATTTATATTGAGTTTACTAATGTATAGCTTATCTGGAGTGGAGGGCTTACCTTAAATAAATGGTGTCCAGCTTGGGTGGGAGTTGACAGCATTAGTGAGTTTAATTGGGATTGCACACAACACCTGTTTTGATTCTTTTTATATTAATTTCATATAGATTAAGCATAGTATGCTCAATCTATGTCAGTATATAAGAAGACGATACAATTTTTATTTTTTTATATTTTATTTTGGTTAAATATGGACATGTTGATCACATAGTGTAAGAGACATAAAAGTAGCCTACATAACCTAAAAAATAATTAATAGAGAAATAAAAAAATATTCTGGTGTCAATCGGTTGAATCACAACTGTAGGCTACTAGCAGTTTGTTTTCAGTTACGCATTGCTAAAGAAGTTTAACTTTTTTTATTTCTTCATGAAACATGTAAATAATGGGGAAGAGACCCTTTATACACAACGATTATTTAAACTTTCTTTGAGCTGTCATTTAATCTATCTGCAGATTTCTCAGCAAAAGTAAACAGATATTACTTGGCCTACCTAACCAACTCAAACTTATACTCATTAACTAAACTTATTAACTCTGTAAACTATAACCAGAGTCATTAAAAACATGTTTGTTTGCCTAAAATATCTAAAGGAAAAGCATAGTAATGACTCAAAAAGTCTTAAAATATAAAGGCGAGTACATTAAATCTAGAAATGGTTAAAAACCATTAACTTCTCCATCAGTTTAAGCTGATCTAATGACAGCAAGAGATACTCCCATGAGCATTTGGGGCTTCAGGGTAGGCAAGGCCTGTTTTACATCAACCCTAATGTTTGGATTTTTATCATCATTTTGATTTAGATTGTAAATATACAATAGCTATATCCAGCCATAAAGTGAGTGGACTAGTATTTTTATATAAGTGGTTTTACAGGTCTTGATGGTTGATAATCCTTCTTCTTCAGTCAACTGTAAAAAGCGGTCAAGAAGTTTAACTAAAGCCAGATCAAGTGTACCACTTGACAACGATCATTCGAGGTAGGCCAGTTAACACATTTGTCTAGTCCAATTAACTGAACATTTTGTAAGTTATAGTTTTGCTGTACCTGTATTTTTCTAAGTAGTTAGTATTAACTTTTACTGTTAATTAGTGTTAATTTTATTCATCCCAATTAATTTATTGGGCACCAATCTCTGTGTACGGAGTAGGTATTCAAATTAAAATATTGGTAAAATAGAAGTCACCAAATAAATGGTTTATTAATGATTTGTAAGTAAAATTTAAAAAGTTTTTTATTTGTGATTTATTTGAATGATTTCGTAGGAGCAACAACAGAGACATGCAACTGAGCCTCATACGAGACATTTGGATAGAGAAAGTTCGTGAAATGTTATTAAAACAAGATGCAATACTTCAAAGAAGAAAGTAAGTTTATTTTACTTTTGTCACCCCAATGAAGAATTGTGGTTAAAGGATTTTGATAACATCCACGGTAGTTTATTGATGACACTTGTATCTTGTTTTGTAAGTTGTTTATAGGTTTCTAAATTGAAAAATCTAGTAACACTTCAAAGATATACTCACACACAGTATGATGTATTCACAGCCGAGATAAAAATTGTAAAAAAAGATTGTAGGTAATTAATATTGCAGTTCATTTGTCTGTTGAGTCTGGTCATTGAAAGAATCAAATCAAAATTGATTATTGTTGAGTGTGTAAGCTGTCATTGTTGAGCTCTGTAAATAAAACAAAGGTGTAAAACCCTAAAAATGCAAAAATATAGAATAAAGTAGTTAATAGAGTACATAAATATATCCTTTAGTTTGAATCGTTAATTGGGTAACTGATGTGTTTCATGTACATTTTTTGTTAAATAGTTTAAGTTACAAAATGGCCATGTGAACATAACACTGCTTGGTAAAATACCCCCGCCGCAGCAAACCTGCAGACTAAGCGAATTTCCATTTGACTGATTGGATTTACACTGAAATGTCTACTTAAAAATATAACATTTATTCCCTATTTAAATAGAATTAGTTTAACAAGTACTTAGGTTTGCTGCATCAGGGAGGGTAAAACTGTTTTTTTTTTTTAATGTTAATAGTTAGTAAGAAATTAAAACATTTTCCAAATTTGATCAAAATATGTTCATAAACAAGTAAACTACAACAGTTTACTTATTCTCCATAAGAATAACATTGGAATTTTAAATTTACAATTTTTTGGAATTTTCTCCGTAACCATTAGGCGTATAACAACGCTTCAATATACTAAATTATTTGTTTTTTTAAGCTCTACAAAATGATTTGGAATGAAATTGCTAAATTTTATGTTTTTTGGGTCAAAAATGGGAAAAGCCTATTTTTACCCCATAAAACCCCCCGTAAACCCCCGTTCCCATGGTCCGATCATGCTGGATCGCGAACTCGTTCGAATAAACGTAGGTTTACACGTTTGTACCAAATTTCATCAAAATCGGATCATTTTTGCTCGAGTTATCGTGCTAACGGACACATATATATATATATATATATGAATTTGAACGGATGGTGTTTTTGGCCTCTAGGGACCTCAAAACGAAAAAAAAAATCGGTCCCGCGTCCAGGTCTTACCATGAGTACTACGGTAATAGCTTATTCCCTATATGGGAAATTCGCTAAAATGTTATTTTATTTTCAAAGTTATCATAGAATGCCTTATATTTTATTTTTGTATGCTAAAATTTATCCATACCGGTATTTGTTTTCCTGTCAGTAAATTTCCTAAAAGCCAAAAAACATTTTTGGATCATAACGGTAAGCATGATAACTCAAGGAAAATCATAAAATGCTAATGAGACCTATGTGTTATTTATTCAAACGAGAAGATAGATCGAAGCATGGAAAGGTTGGTTTTGCACCTGGAATGGCACTTCTTTACCTATTTAATATTACTAGTACTTTTCATATTCTACAAAATTAGTTACCTTATTTATTAATTACATTGATTGGCTTAAAAAACTTAATCTAAACATTGTACATTTTTATTTTTCCCAAATTCTTTTCTTTTGGAGTACTAGCTTGTTACCAACAATGCTGATTATGAATTTCAGTATAGTTGGCTGTGTCAGTATAATGTGTTTATTTAAATTGGTTTAATGATTTACAAGGGCAAAATTGTGAATGAACAAAATGTTGTATAAACAGCACCAATACTTGAGCATGTTATTATTTGTTTTAGACAATATTTTATGATATTATTGTTTGTAAAGGAACCAAAACTGTTTAAAATCATGTATATGCATGTTTTATATTTTTTTACATTCCAAACAATGAAATTATTACACCAATGGATAACACTCAGTCACTCAGTTCCCTGGTAAAGAAAATAATAAGAATAATATCTTATATTATCAATTCCGTTTTAAGGAATGTGGAGACATTGCAGCAGTGGCAAGATGAAACCAAACTACTCAAGCAAACACACGTCAAGAAAGGTATGAACCTCTCTTTAAATGAAAATTAGTGGACAGAGTCTAGTATTATTAACAAAATTACAACATAACAATACATTTTATTAGAACAATTTTATATGAAAATGTAAAAGAAAGCTTTTTTATGTTTTATTTATAACTAGGCCCTGTTTATAGTAGGAATTGGAAATACATTACTGTTACTTTGCATGTAATAGTCAGTAACGTACCTTAGCTTTTTTGGTAATAAGTGAAGTAATACTATATTTTTTTGTTATGTATTACCCCTTAGTCAAAGACGGGTCGCTATTAGTAGGAAGACTAGATCAGCATTATTTCACCCGCTCGTTCCAACAGTTAAGATGATGTTACAAAAACAATCTTTCTACCAAGGTACATTTGTACATTTACAAGGTTATTTTGTAAAATCTACAGTTAAAAGGAAGACCCTATCAGTATTATATCAAACCTTCGTTTTAACAGTTCGATCTCGTTACAAAAATAATAGGGTATTGTCAGTAATCTATTACCAGGGCAATGTGTGGCACTTGAGTATTAGTATTATTTATCATACTACGTCAAATAATGTCCACCTCTAGTTTTAAAGTTTTGTTAAAACCTGTTTTAATATTTGTAATTTGTTTCAGTTTCTTGTAAGACAGAGGTTGACTTCCCCTTTGGCACTGATCCAGAATACCTCAAAATATTGTCAAGAAAAGATTTGAAAGAGGTTATAAATATATTTCTTTGTGTTATGAAATAGTTAATGCTATTTTCACATTGAAAAAAATAGTAGTTTTTAAAGTTAAATTAGAGATTAGTCCTCATAGTACCAAAAAGGCGCTTATGTACATCCTTGGCACCTTGGAAAATCAAGGGACTTGCGGTAAAATCTTGATGTAACAAACTCAAAATTCATATAACACTTGTTTGAAATCCCCATGAACAAAGACTCATAAACAAATAAGACTTACGATTTACATCTATATAAACTATGTATGTTGAGAACAGATTTCCATTATGACGAGAATAATATATTGCAATCAAACATGTTAAGTAACATGCAGTAATGATTATTTCACATTAACAAATGAACTATTTTCCATTTATTTTAATTGTACACTATCAATATGAATATAACAACCTTTTTTTTAGGACTGGAACCACCGAAGGGAATCATCTCCCCACAATTTCCGGCATGAGGAGTAAGTAATTCATTTCATTTAGCTCTTAATGTTTAATCTTCTCGTGAAACTCTAGATTATAACTTAGATTATGTAACTTAAATGTCAAGAATAAATTAATTTTTATTTAGTGATGTAGGTTTTTATTTTGTCCCTAATAATGGTTGATGGTGATAATAAGACTGGAAATATTAAGCTTTGTTTGGTCAATTAAAATTGTGTTAATAAAGGTACACGGGTAATTATATTTTTTCACTCTTTTAAATTCAAACATATCGTGAATGTGTATGTGATGTAACATATTAACAGGATTCCCAAATATACAGTTTGTTCATAGAGCTGTAATGTCACATTTTAAATGGCTATAAAATATTGTTTTGGGTTCCAGGCCAATAAATAACAGGATTGTATCAATAATGACTGCACTTCAAGAGTTGCAGACCAGTCAATCCTCAACACTGATGAGTCCTCGGACTGAGCAAAAGATACTCTCTGAAGAAATAAAAAAGGTTTGTTACTATCTTAAGCTTTCAATTCATGGCATTTCCACCAGAAATAAGGTTTAAAACTCTGACAAGATATTTGCCAACATTCTGACACATTCTATCTAAAAAATTAGCTTACTAGCAGTAGAACTCTCATGTCATAAACTTATGATGAATTTAACCCTTTGACCACAGTTAAATTCATTTATATGTCATTTGTTTATTTCATAATATGTCAGTTATGTCATATTCATTAAAAAAGGTTCTGTGTCTTTCTCTATACTAGTTTAAAAAGAAGCAAAACAAAAGTTGTATGTAGAGGTGTATAGTCAATGGTTGTATGCAATCCCTAGTTAACTCGCTAATGCCATCGACTTCCACCCAAGCTGGACACCTATAGTCCCACCAGCCACCAGTTGATGAGCCTTCCCACCGGCTAAGCCACACATTAGAAGGTTTAATATGGACTAGGTGAACCCGTGCGAATTCGCACGAATAAATTAGGATATATTGTAGCAACGTAGAAGTTACGTCGTTGTATCGACGTTGGTCTTGAGCTCGATCGTTGGCTATATACATTCTAAGTTCTTTTTGCTGTTCAGTAGGAGTATTTTGCAGGACGGAGCTTATCATGCTGAAAACTTGCGCGAATAGATTAATATCAACCAAATGTTTAGTCAAAATGTGCGTGAGTTCAGTGCTGCAAAAGCCATTAGCTTTGTTTAGCATTCTTTCTTGAACAGCGGTTTCGACGTCATAGATATACATTTCGGCATATGTGGGATGCTCCCATTCTGACAGTTGAAAGGTGCCAATTGAGTGATAAATTGTGTCGTGCACCTTATACATGAAAGGCCCTCCTTCTTTAAAATGTAGCACACCACATTTCTGACATTTTAATACCATCTCGCCGAGTGAATGCTGCTGAGTTCTTGTATTTGTCAGTGTAATTTTGTAAGTACACGTTGCCACTAACTGTTCCAGCTCCTCGTCTGGGCTCATTACGTTTTGCATTGCTTGCCGTATGTTGACTCGCCGTGTCCGACCTGCAATATTTCTTTATCGTCGGGTCCTTAGCATGTTTAAACTAAAATAAAATGTAAAACTTTTCTCCCGTCGTGTCCTATAATAGGTAACATATTTTTGCCGGGTTTCTAACTATTTTTTAAAAACATGCAAACTGTTTACATTTCATAACCAAACAAAACAGCCGGGATTTCTTTTACTAATGTATTGACACCTGTTTCAGAATATAATAACATTCAAATCAATCACAATGTTATCCTTATGGAAGGAACTTTGAGGGTAGCCCACGCCCTTCAAAAGATATATTTCGAAAATCTAAATCCAGTTTGCACATCTACACACCTAGACGAACATTTTGGTATATAATATGTGGGGTTAAATCTTAAAACGAAAAAACCTTATGTTCACAAAGTTTCATGTCGCGTATTAAATATATAGATAGCACACATATGGGAATCGAACCCGCAGATGTAGAAAGATCTTAACGCTATGCACGTTAGTGCAATGCCTTCGTCAACTGAGCCACCATGTCACCATTGGCCAGCCGGGACAAATGCTAATATAAATACATGAGAAACTAGCGCTTGCAGGTAAGATTGGACCAACTACTTGAGTGCCAGTGAGTTAGCAGTACGGCTTCTTCACCGTAAGAGCTATGACAACTTATACTCGTCAAATCGTCTTGTTAAGTGTTAACGATCCATTATTTTTATATTATAACCATACTTTTAAACCCCTTTGCTCTTTCAGATACGAGACATTCAGAGAAGTTTGAGTGCTTTGAAACTGAAGAATTTTGGTCAACTTGGGTATTCAAGGTAGAATTTCCAATTAATACATCATTAATAAGCTTGTTTGAATGTCAATTTAAAATAAATTCAGCATATATAACACACATTTATATCTTATTTTACCACCAAATGTTTACATTATTTTAAATATATTAAGTAAAAAGTAATCTTGAATTTGTTCTACCCTCCTTTTACTTTCTCTCCCTAAACATAGTAGCCTATTTGGAGAAAGTATTGTTCTCGCCAACAATTTCGAGTTTGAGTTTTGAGTGGATTTTTGGGTCCCTCTGGACCCAAAAAAGTGGTTTTTGAAGTGATGTCTGTGTGTGTGGGTGTGTCTGTATGTGTGGATGTGTACAGAGCTACAGACTACACAACTGTGGTCCGATTTTGATGAAATTTGGTATGTAGGAACTCCTCCATGGTATCTCCAGCTGTTTAAATTTTTTTTTAATGGGGATTTTTCCATAAAAACAAAAAAAAAAACCAGAAAAATAAGATTTTCTCAAAAATAGCCTGAACTATTTTGATAAAATTTTTGTATGCCCTTTGAATTCTGAACAAAATGTTAGGACTCACATTAAAAATTGTGGTTCAAAAGTTAATGTAAATTATGTTATTTTCCCATAAAACCTTATCAAATATAAGAAAATCGTATTTTTGAAAAAAAAAGACAGTTTTGATTGGAATTAGAATGTGATGGTCCTTATAATTCTTAACAACGTAGTCCAACCACCCATTGCTGTAAAAATTACGGTTCGAAAGTTATTTTCCATATAAAATATGATAGTTACTCCCACCGCATACCCATGTTAAAGGTTGTTGACAAGCTAATGGGAGAAAGTATGTGGCAGATTGCTGATACCGTTTATTTTATATATCTTTACTAGCACATCTAAACTCAAACTCTTTATTTGCCATAAAAAACATTACAAATTTGAGCATAGCTCATGTAACAGATGGCATGTCAATTATAACTAGAGTGTAAATTAATTATTACAATTACAATTATTACAATTAATTATTTAAAAAATCAAATATAATGGATAAAAGATAGTCTAACAAAAATTGAATATATACAGTACAACCCCTGACTCAGACAGATGTGCTCATTTAAAAAAAATCGTCCACTTTATAAGGACATGTTGCAGCTAGATGAGTTTCCAGTTTTTTTAAAAAAATGTGTTAGTTTGTTTTTCTTTTTTTTTATCTCTGGTGGAAGGCGATTAAACAGCTTAATTGCCATGTTATATGGACCCTTCTCCAAAAGAGACAATCTATGTTTAGGGTACCGCAGAGTGTCTGTGTTTCTTGTACCCTGAGTCCCCAGACTGTTATTTGAAAAATATTGTTGATGTTTTTTTGACAAGCTGAGGACAATCTCACTCCTTGTTTGTAGATGGATATAAAAACCATCTATGATCTTAAATCAAGCACAAAGGTTGATAAAAGACAATAACAATATAACAAAATAGAAAATGTATTTATTTAAAAATTAAAATTACAAACAATTAACTCTTGAGGAATTTAGCTATACCTACCTTTCGTGCGGCTGTTTTTCCCTCCTTAAGGAATGGTAAGTGGAGGGTCTTATACAGCCTGGTAGCTTTCTGAGGACCCAGCCCCGGACAGAGGCCCAGAGTGTCTTGATTGGCTTTGATTATTTTACCCAAGCTTCCAAATGTGGTTAGAAGAGTGGTGGCGTCAGTCTTGTTGATGGACCGTACACAAGTCAAGGCACTCACAAGCTACAACAATCAAGTATCGGACTCGGAATACAACAAAATAGTCTAAATAAATAGCTAAAATATATTATGATAAATGTAGCCAAGACTATTCATCTGTTATACATTCGTCACACTCAACATTAAACAATTTATACCTACTTGGTTTAAAAACTTCCGGGGAGAAAACTATACTAGGTGGTGGTTTAACTCAAAAGGATTGACTTTTTAGTACAGTTGTCTACCCTAATTTAGGTTGTTTATTAATTATAGAAAAAGGATGATAGCAGCAAGATTACCTTGAAAGTGTAGGTAGGCCATTGACCATGTAGAAAATACACTGTGCACACACTATTTCGTCCCCTGAGGGACTTTGTCAAGTGCAGAGAAAGAGTTTACAAATAACAAAATGGCTGCTGTCATGGCTGTTGTCAACTATGCCTGTCTCCGTCAGGGGACGAAATATTGTGTGCACAGTGTATTTTCTACATGTTCTATGGCCTACCTACACTTTCAAGGTAAGCTAGCTGCTATCCTCCTTTTTCTACAATTCAAAATCCTGGCCTAGAGCCTTTACTTGAACAAAACTAACCATAATTTAGGTTGATTATTAGTTTTGATTATCAATAAAATAAATTGTCAATAATAAAGTCGGTGGGCTATATTATTTAGCAAAATGAAATACGTTTGATGCCACCACTTAAATAACCTCTTAATCAGCACACTTCATTCTTGTACTATACCAGGTGGCTCCTTGTTTTCATTTATTGAAACATTCTATGCGAAGGCCGCATAATTTTGATTTCAATTGGAGTTCGGCATATAGGATGAATGGAGTCATTTGATTGGCTGATCCAACAGTGACAATGGCAGATGTAGATATTTGATATTTTCAATCAATATTAGGGTAGCCCAGTTAAACCCAAAGTCATAACGTCACTGTTGGATCAGCCAATCCATCTCCATTTGCCTTATATATGCCGGAACTCCAATTGAATTAAAGATTATGCGCACAGGCCTCAGGCACAGGTGTATGGACAAATTCAAGGTTCGAAGAGACACTAGCCTCTTCAAACTGCTGAGCTACAAATTTCAAAGACACACCATCTCGCTAACTGCCAATAAGCCTCAACATTTGGGTTTAAATTTCATGGACATATTTTTTTTGCTAATGAGTATCATAATGATAGCTATTTATCAATTTTCTAAGAAACTTTGCTCATAGATGAATAAAGTAAAAGCGTGTAATCTATAAAATAATCATTTGTAACCTTGATATGTGGATCAGACTCTTGACGTTCCATGATCATATCTGGAGGTTTGTGCTCAAATATCTTGTAAGTCTCAATTATCTTGGCTGCCTCCTCCGGACTCCAGGCCAGCATGAGGGTAAGGTCGGCCAGCAGACACACTCTAGTCAGATGCTTCAATGGGGTGTGTGGATCCTTCATATCTACCTGCAACATAACAACATCACAACCAGTCAGCTGACACACATAGCGAAACAAGAAAAAAAAACATTTAGCTAATTTGATTTTTTGGATAATTCAGTCTTATATACACATAGCATCTACATTGTTACATAGGAATCATCCAATCAACTATATTTATTTATTTTTAGTACATAACAAAAATAAACAAATATACTTTTCAATTAATCTTAGAAAAACCTACAAAGGAATTGCATGTATGCCTTCTATGAGAGGATCAAATTAGTCCCTGGAGAAGATCTTAAAACTACACGTAAATATGCAGTGCACACAGTCAAGGGTAAAAAAATTAGATAAATAAGTAACAAATGTTGTCTATGATTATCCTTGCTTTATTACTGACAAAGATCATCTGCTTATTTAGCTATAATCACACATATAAAACTGTGTTCAAAATATTTAGGTAGTTTGAGGGGAAGCGATTCCATCCCCAAAACCTCACCCTAACTTTTAAATAACAGCTGACATATACATTGAGCATACAAAGTGGTGGGGGAACACAGGAAACCTTCCCCTTAAACCGTCTAAACTTTGTGAACTTACAAATTATAGTATAGGAACGAATACAAATAATAAAAATGCAAAAAAATCCACCATGCATAAGACTTAAGCGGTCCAGAAGTATCACTGAGCCAACAAACGCGTTGTGTTTAAATCTGCTAGAGTCTACACCAAAATTTAGCACCGCTGATGTCGCTGTAATCTTTTTAAAGTATACACTTCACTTTTACATATGATCAGCTAAAACTAGGTACTTTACGTCTTAAACTCTAGTATACGTCAGTTTTCTCTCCTAACGCCGGAACGCCCCCATGTCTGGTCTAGCCCGTCAGCAAGAGCAGTGCTCCTATATTCTGGTGTGGACACTAACAAATTCAAACGCAATGCTTCCTATGTAAGAGTTCTGGGTTTAGATCTTTATCCTGTGTTACAATGAGCTGTTCTATCTTACCACACTGCAGTCACTCTTTTGACTTACTGTAACAGTACTTTACTGTATACAGGTAACCGCACAGACCAGTAGTCTATGGTGGGTGATAGGCAGTTGATGGTAAAAAGTTGATTACATTTTTTCCTTTTGTGCAGCAACAACAAGTTGTAACTTACACTTCTTTAATTTAATACATTATTTACCTACTTTTATTATTTAGTAGGTACCATAAGTCAATGCATACAGTCCAACCTCAGTATAACGAATCTGAAGGGACCGAACTGAATATTCGTTATATCAAGGATTTCGTTGAAACGAGGTTCGTTATATAGAGGTTATGTTTGCAGGAATTTCGCTAAGTCGAGGTTCAGAACCAGCGTCGGTCAATATAGGTCGGGATTAGACATCATTAAAACACAATTAAGTTAAAGTAGCATATGCTACAATACTTTACAGTACAGTAAAAATAACCATTGTATAAAAATAACAATGTACCGTAGAACCTAAATCATCCGGCATAAAAAAGGGGAGGGATCTTGAATATTGCGCAATCATGAAAATGGCATTGACCTTGGTACAGGTTAAAAACTGTAAGTTTAAAATCACAGCTTGTTCTAACCCTCCTAAAACCTAGCCAAACACTGTATTGCGTAGTCATAAACCATGTAAAGAACAAAACAAAACAGTAGTAGAAAGTTTTGTAAGCTACTGATCGTGATAGGCCGGTAGGCTACTTACAGTACCTACAGTACTGATTTATCACAACAGAGGAATGTCAATAATAATCATTAACTATAGCATTGGTGTTGCTAGTTGAAACAAATCGTATTGAAAACAATAAATTATTAGATAAGTCATTATAAAAGTGTATAATCATAGCCAACTTAAAGATAATAAAAACACTCGAAAAAGGAATGTTAAAATAACGATGTTGCTATTCTTTCCCTTTGGTTTTGTTTTTATATTCTTTCTTAGGTTTCTCTTTATCCAAAAATTGTACAATTCACCATAGTTACTTATCGCCCAATCACAGCTTACTAAACATTACGTCGTCATCAGTCCTCAGTGAATGAAATCAGTTCTCAGTTGCAACATAGCGCGCGCAGCGACAGCAGACAAGAGATGTGTAAAACGGAGCAGACGAGTGTTAGCGCAAGCGATGACGTCACCTTTCCATTTCATTTGATAAAGAAACAGATTTTCCAAAAACAATAATGGGGTGGGGGATTTGTTATATCGAGGGAAAGACGTAGACAATTCGTTATGCAGAGGTTAAATTCGCAATGTAGAGGTTCTGACAATGACAAATTCGCTATATTGAGGTGTCTTATTTTACCCGAAATAACGAAAAATTCTTTAAATCAAGGTCGTTGTTATGGTTTGTTCGTTATGTAGAGGTAAAATATACATTGTGTCTTATGGAGAGTTCTAGGGGATTTAAAAAAATTTGTTATATCAAGGAATTCGTTGTATCGAGGTTCGTTATATCAAGGTTAGACTGTAGTTCTAATGAACTTAAAATGCACAATTGCTAAGCTAATCTACACATTAACAAAACCATGCTTACCTGTACCAATAGAACTCTAAGATCATACAATTTTCCGAGCTGCTTCAGTCGTTCGTTGATGTAATCAGGCTTGAGGTTATGATAGCGCAGTGACAGAAACAATGCACAAGTTGTCCTACCCATAACATAGTCTGGGATGATAGATTCGTCAAATTCCCAAGGAACATTGCTAATTGATTTAAGCAGTGGATTGCCCCTCTGAAAAAATATTAGCCATTTGATACATGAAAGCTCAATAGCCTATCTAATATTAAATTTTGTTCAGACAAAGTTATCAGTAGGCTACTCATCCGGAAACTGGCAGGTCTTCTATGCCTACTTTGTTTATCCAAATTAATTGGGTGTTGGGCCAATGTGGATATTCAGAATTTCAGATAATCGATACCACCAGTCGGGACTTCAGTCCTAATACTGAATGTATGGTAACCGTATTTCTTGAAAGAGAACATGGGTTAAGGTGCAGAACAATAATAGAACAATTTTTTTTTCACCCTGAGCATGTTGTGAATATGTGTCATGTATCACCTTCCAGTAATGTAAAGTTACACAAGAAGAATAACTAACCTGCTTTGGGCTGACTAAAACTGAGTTACTACTGGCAGGCTTAGGTACTGACGACGTTGATGTACTTGGTCCAGCTTCGGAATCAGAAGAAACTTTTGCAGCCTCAGAAACCACAGATTCATAAATGTCTGTCTTTTTTAATTTTGAAAATGCAGCTGCAAAATGAAACGTAGTTTTACACAACAATCTTTTTACAGGAAAATAGTGGGTTTATTTCTACCAATAGGCTATTGTTTATTGATAAACGGAAATTATTATTTCCATTTTAGGCTATATAACACCAATAAACTTTTGAAAATCATCAATAGCGTGCCCCGGTGTACCTAATCTGGATCGACTGACTTAAGTAAATTTATTTTTTATAGTGCCACTAATTCTGTCACATAGGGAGAGGACTTCACAGTACTAAAAATCAAAGAAGAACTACGAAGTGCTCAATTAAAAATAATATTCCCTACAATCACCTGACAAAGCAGGCTTTCTTACACTGATTATAGGACGCAAAGTAGCCAATTCCTTAATTTACTTACTTTGCCGAGTTCCAGCATTCCAACCAAACAACATAAAATAGTGTGCTTGTATTAGGCATCGCATGCAATACAGGTACCTTGAAAATAAGTTGGCGCAACTTAAAACTTAAAGATACCTACTACGACTACGGTCTACTGGTGCAGCGTTTCCCATTCTTTGACTATTGGTACTATGACTTAACCTGTTGTTTCGTATTGACATTCTATTGTCATACAACGCATGGATTTAACCTAACCTAAAACGTGTCGTTAGCAAGCTCGGGTGTTCCCCAGGGATCTCAATTGGAACCACATCTGTTATCAATCTTCATTAATGTTATTATAGACGTCATCAATATTCCTTTCCTGCTTTTAGCCGATGACATCAAGTTGTTCAAGGAGGTGAAATCACATAATGACTGCTCACTGCTACAGGGAGCTTTGGAAAGTGTTCAGCAATAGTGCTCTACGAATGGGATGTGTATTAATCGCGCTAAAATCAAAGTAATAATCCATATATTAACAATGTCATTGAAAATGACGATGTCTTGGACGGAGACTTGGTGAAAAGATAAAGTCACATGAAGGACCACGGTGTCATTATTGACTCCTCCTTTGAGTTTGGTCAGCACATTAGCAACATATGTGCCAGGGCCTGTCGCACCCTTGGACTGGTTATTTGGAGTAAATCATGGGCTGGACTCCGTAGTGGCTACCATCTTGTACAAGTCCTTTGTCCGTCAGCTAGTTAATTTTTCTCTGGTTGTATGGTCTCTATATCAACTCAGCCTTACAGACCAGCTAGAGTCAGTCCAGAGACGATTCATCAGGTTCCTTGGCCACCAAGAGGGGTTCAACTAGAACATTGATGGTTTTAGAAATCCCCATTGATGTTGTCTCAGAATCCTACGGGTTGCAGCCATTAGCATGAAGAAGACAAGGGGCATATGTGTCCTTCCCCTTAAAGCTCCTCAACAGAAAGGTAGACTGCCCCTACCTCTTAGAGAAGATCAATTTCAGGGTGCCCACCAGGACTAGGGAACAGCTTTGATTTGAGCTCAAGCATCCAGGAAGAAGTTACCTCCAGCACAGTCCTAGGCCTATTCCCTCAAGAGTCCTAGGCTCATGCGATCCGGCAATAAACTCTCTGAGTTAGTAGACTTCTTGTGACAGCCTCGCAGCCATCGGACGTGTATATCTCTAGCCCTGCATCGACGCTTGGCCGCCGAGTCCTGGTCCCCTGCCCCCGAAGCCTAGTGTGCCTCTTGATGTTTGTTAATTTTCATTCCTCCATTTGTGTTTTTTAGCGAATTTCCCATATAATAGGGAATAAGCTATTAACGTAGTACTCATGGTAAGACCTGGACCCGATTTAATTTTTCGTTTTGAGGTCCCCAGAGGCCAAAAACACCATCCGTTCAAATTCATATACATATATATATATGTGTCCGTTAGCGTGATAACTCGAGCAAGAATGATCCGATTTTGATGAAATTTTGTACAAACGTGTAAACCTACGTTTATTTGAACGAGTTCACGAACCAGCATAATCGGACCATGGGAACGGGGGTTTATGGGGAGTATTATGGGGTAAAAATGGGGTTTTCCCATTCACCCTAAAAACAAAAGTTTTTGCAATTTCTTTTGAAACTGTTTTGTAGAGCTTAAAAAAAGGAAATCAATATATCGATCGATATTTTCATTCGGTTGTTTGTGCCAACAGATATGGAAGTGTACCCAAGCCTTTTTAGGACCAGAAAGTCTAAGTTAAAGATAAAAATACTGTAAAATAGGCCCTAAGATAGCCTACTGGCTTCCCAACTTAATTCAAGCATGTTACCCTTTAGCCTATGAAATACTTACATGCAAGGGACATTTTTGAATCCGTAATCTTTTTGCGATTAAAGTTTTGACTTTGCTACATAGAAAATAACTTAAGGATTTTCAATACTGTAATTTGTGTCGGTCCACTTCCATAAAATTGAACTGTAAATTTAAATGGTTTCCTGAAAAAAGTTCACTTTAAGTTATAATAATGCAAGTTTTTGGGCTGGTGATTTAATAAAGATGTACTTTTATTCGTACTAAGCATAAAATAAAAATGTCAAAATGTTGTTTACCATTAATTAAACTTAGTTGATGAGGCTTTGGTGTTAGGTTAGGTACTACCGTTGTGACACTTGACAGTCAACAGAGTCGACTTCGACGACTAATGAATGGAATGGAATGGATGGAATGATGCTATAGCATTATAATATACATTATATATTATAATGTATACATATATATATAATGTATTACATATATATTATAATAGCATTATATATAGCATTATAATATAGACTGCAGTAATAAGAAACAGCTATAGCCATTGGCTATTTTATAGTCATTACTCAATGGCTATTGGCTATAGCTGCTGTTTCTTATTACTGCAGTCTGCTAAGAGTAGGCTAAACAAAATTTTAACTATGCAATTTTCAAACTACACTATTATCTTTATAGATGACTCAGTATAACAAAAAATGAGCAAGAAGTGTGCTACAAATTAATAAAAATTCATGAAATATTATTGAAGTTTCTATTTTAAAATTTTGTTGAAACCAATGTAAACGGTTCTCCATGAAGATTGTTGACATAGTTGGTTCTTATATAGAGCCATTGACTGTTGGATACAGAAAGTTGTTGTATGAATAGTCAAAGATAGAGCTTACATGGATCAGTAAGACAATGACGTATTATGTATTAATAGGATAACGATTTGCTTAATCAGTAACAAGGAAACATTTGAAAATCTTAGAACAATTCTGCAATGATCCTTTATTTCAGACCATAGATTAAATTAATATGCTCCCAATAAATTATCATTCCTCATGAACCAGCTCATGGCCACCCTCAACTCCAGGCTGCGGCCTTCGAAGTGGCAACGTCGCAAGTAGTGTTGTGAGAGCTTTTTTATTTGGAGCTAATAGTATTTGTGTGTTTATTGTGTTTTTACGCCAGTGGCATTTTTTTACGTTTTAAAAGGGAACGGTCCAATTCTGGGTCTGTCAACAAACTCGCTTGGATTCGAACCAGTGACCTTTAGATTTGAAGCCGAGCATTAAGTTATAAACACTCGGCTACCCGGACAATTAACTGCCAGCAGCAGACCGTAACATTTATACGTCAATAGATCTCATAGATCGTCAATAAGTCTTCTATACTGTTCACAGTCATGGTGGAAGGTGGAACCAACCCTTCCACCATGACTGTGAACAGTATAGAAGACTTATAAATGTTGACCATGTTGTAAATGTGAACCATGGTGGAAGGGTTCCTTCCACCATGGTTCACAGTAAATATTTTACTATTAAAGGATGAGAGGTACAGTTTCAGTAACTATGCTCAAAATACCCCTGCCGCAGCAAACCTGCAGACTAAGCGAATTTCAACTCGTCTGATTACATTTTTACTAAAATATTTCCATAAATAAGACATATTATTCCCTATTTAAATAACATTAGATTTAACGAGTGCTTAGGTTTGCTGCTACGGGGAAGGTAAAAAGTGTTTTTTGACCATACGTCAATAGTATAGGATGAAATAAATAAATTTGCCAAATTTTATCAATATATACCCATAAACAAGTAAACTACAACAATTTTCATTTTCTCCATAAGAATAACATGGGAATTTTTAATTACACTATTTTTGAATTTTCTCCGTGACCGTTAGGCTGTTGTATACAGCGCTTCAATATACTAAATTATTTATTTTTTTAAGCTCTACAAAACGGTTTAGAAAGAAATCGCAAAATCTATTGTTTTTAGGTTCAAAAATGGGAAAAACCCATTTTTACCCCATAAAACCCCCCATAAACCCCCGTTCCCATGGTCCGATTATGCTGGATCGCGAACTCGTTTGAATAAACGTAGGTTTACACGTTTGTACCAAATTTCATTAAAATTGGATCATTTTTGCTCGAGTTATCGCGCTAACGGACACATATATATATATAAATATATATATAAATATATATATAAATATATATATAAATATATATATAAATATATATATAAATATATATATATATATATATATATATGAATTTGAACGGATGGTGTTTTTGGCCTCTAGGGACCTCAAAATGAAAAATTAAATCGGTCTCGGGTCCAGGTCTTACCATGAGTACTACGGTAATAGCTTATTCCCTATATGGGAAATTCGCTAATACACATTTTTTCCATCTTTGACTTAATTCAGGCATTGCGTGTGGTATGGGAACTTCCATGAACTTATATTCTATTCTATTCTATATGCAAAATTTTACTCTCATTTAGAAAATTTAGGCTTGTATCACCATAGGCGGCCGTGCTTGTATGTATAGTGTTTGACTTTCGGCTAAAAAGCATCTAAACAAAGGGCCTACTTCTTTACTGTTTCTGTCTGTATAAGTTACTTCTTCTTCTTACCTTCTTACTTGTTTCTTGTTTCTGTTTGTTTTCAATTCATTCGCCGTTTTCTTTCACTTCGACTGACTTCGAGTTTGGTTTCTTTTTGAAGATTTACTTCTAATTTTGAAAATGGAAACAATTTTGGAGCAGCAAAGAAGATATCATGAAGAACGTGAACGATTAATGGATTCAATGGTCAAGGAGATGTTACATAAAAAATCAGGGGTAAGTAAGTTAGGCCTAATTAGGTATAGGTTATGTTAGCCTGTACTTGGCAATTCACTTTTGCAAAGGAAACCTTTTAATGCGATTTGCGCATGAAAACGAATCGTCAAATTTCGCAAGCTTCTCTTTTATATAGATAACTCGTAAACCTGCAATATAACTGTATATTTGTCTTTAGCTTTAGGCCAGGTGTTGGGTTTGGACATTTGGGCCATAGACCTATTTATAACAATAAATTGTTGGGCTGGTGTGTTTGTATTGGTTATTAAGCTATAAAATAATCTACTCCTGGCAAAACTTTGATATTCATTGCAATAATGGATTGTTAGGCCTACAATTGATTGGGTAGGCCTAGCCTCGTTGACACAGGGCAAGTTTAACTTACTAGCTACACGCTGACATTTTTACATGCAGCTCCTTAAGTAGCTCAGTGTGAGAAACATTCAACTCGCTAAAAAGCTGATTTAAATAAAGCTCTAGAAAAAGTTGAGTCTGCCAGTGAATAACACGCTAAAGGGCCTATTAGGCGTAGGCTCTTTTTAGAATGTAACTTCACTTCACTTTTAGTTAGTATGTTCTAAAAATAATAAAAGTAGCATTTAATCTCTATATTAAATCTCAATAGGCCTAGTACACTGTCGCTCACTGCAGACATAAATTAACATGTTTACTATATCGTCAATGCCCACAGTGGCGGATCCACAGAAGGGCTAGCCCCCTCTTGGATGTCCAATCTACATTAGGCTAGATAAAATGGTCCTTTAATATATAATTTAGGATACTATATGTCTATACAGTACTTAACTGCACGTGACACTGATACCTACTGCAGTAACTTAGGCCTACATTGTTTACTAAGTAATCATTCTACCATGGTCAAAGTCATTCATCCACGTATTCATCCCCATGCGCGCTAAATCGCTACCCACAGTGCTACTGTCTATCTGCTTGGTTTCACCATCGACCCCAAACTGACGTGGGCAGAACATGTCAAAGTTGTTTGCAGAAGGCTGTCTAGAGTCGTGTGTCTGTTACGCAAGCTTTCTAAGTTAGTAACCCCACAATATTTAAAGGTGGTCTACCACTCTCTCTTTCACAGCGTGCTGAGAGATACGGCCTACTGCTCTGGGGGCATGCACCTAATTGTAATGAAGTTCTTTTGTAACAAAAGAAGGCTGTCAGGATTATAACTTATAGCAAAAGATTGGACCACTTCTAGCCTCTTTTTATTGAATCAAATATCTTAACGGTCTTTAGCCACTTCATTCTGTTATGTGCTACACATGTCAAAAGTAACATTCACAAGTTTCCGACCAGAAATATCGTCCACATACACCTCAGACAAGACAAAATCATGAAATAGACATTCCCTTCTGTAGACTCTCTAAGTCGAAGAATACTTTCCCGACCATAGCAATTAGGATCTACAACAGCTTGCCTCAAGATATAAAAAACCTTGAGATAAGGAAATTGCACTGCCCTTAGGTCCTGGCTAGTAACCAAACCTTTTATAGCCTTGACGAATACTTCGAAACAGTGAATAAATTAGGGTTGATCCACCGCCAAAAGTGAATTCGAAAGTAGATATATTGTAAATAGTAAGATACAAAAGTATCAATGAGTATTTTATGTTTTTTAGTTTTTTTCTTATTATGAGACAACCTATCCGGCATAGCTGGTCTTGGTGAAGAGGAAGGTAATCATGCACCAAAACCATCACCATGCACACACACTATAAGTTGGTAGTTACTTCCAAGAAGATCAGTTTATCAGTTCCCTGGCTTTCCACAGGATTAGTTTGATAGTGTTTGTCGAACTGGACCTCTATTTAAATAGACTAGTGCACCTGTTGCTCGAATTTGAACAATTGCAAAATGTTGCAGGCGTTATTTCAAAACGAATAAAGTCAAAATTTTCAATGACTTAAAAGAGTCAACTCAGATAAATAATCAATCACTCCACACCAGTTATCGAAACTATAAACGAACAGAACTCATTCTGAAAATGAACGCTCACTCCACTCCAGTTATCCAAACTGAAAACAAACGCTCTTGTTTGTATCATGTATTTACTACCAACAGCTGTAATTATTACAAATTATTCGTCTGTTTAACTAAACATAATCTTTTCTTCATAAGAAATACGTTGGGATTTTGATGGCCTGTGGGGTAAAGCCGAGGACTTTTATTGCAGAAATTGATGAAAGGGGGCGTCTACACAAAAAATACTTAATTTTGACACATCGTTTGTAAAAATCCGTCCATTAAAAACAGAGGAGTAGTGTTTCATAGAAATCGCCTTCACGTATTATATATAAGGATGTCAAAAAATGTATACTTACTTCACCAAGTAACAATGGATTTTGTTCTATTTTGAAGTATTAACCTGGCTTTAAATACATTTCTTTATCTTTTTGCTTCTGCCCTTTTAGATACAGTAGTAAGTAAAACTTTTTAGCCGGTACAAAACTTGAGTTTACCCCAGAGAAAACTGTCTGGTAGTAAACAAATGCCCAAACTAGACCTTATATTCTGAAGGTTACAAAATTAGGTATATTCATGAAAAACATTTTGGAATGTTATCTTTGGTCTTGTAAAAAAATTATCCCATAGTGCTCTAGATTTAAACTACAATCACTTTGCTATTTGAAATATTATTTTTGGATGGTAAATAACTCCTTCGCTAAAATATTCTATGTTGGCTAGCTGCTAGCCTCCAAGAACTTAACAAGTAAAAGGAGCATGAATGTTTATTTTTAAAATTGCCTTTCACAAGAAGAACGGCCAATAAAAAAAGATCCTCCTTTCCCGGTCTTCCACCTCTTGTTGCTGGGAGGTGAACCACCCCCCCCCCCCAGATCCCATTGTCTCAATCCTCAGTCCAACTCTGATTGCGCGTGCTGGGTATAAAGTCTCCATTACAAAACTGGCACTAACCTATAATTTAGACTTCAAAGTCATCCAGTGAACGAGTTGACTGGAAAATAGTCGTTGGTATGAAGCACTGAGGGGCCTTTTTGCGTACTTTCTCCTAAATTTAAACGTGCCTGAAGAATATTTACCCCACTCCAGCATTCTAGAGGGTTAATGAGTTTGTCACTTTCATGCATCAGGATGGAACTGTAATTAATCATTAAGTTATTTAAGGAAACGTATTACTGTATGCAAGATCAAGTCTTTTAACATAAATTACTTTTAACGTTAATCCTTAAATTTTGTTTCAGTATCGTGAGTCAATCAATTCAGATCACAGACTTAAAATGCTTCTTGATGTAAGTATTTAAATTTAGGCTATATATCTAGTTTAGTGTAGGCTAGCTTATTCGTATCTAACATGTTCACACTGTGGAGTGTTTATTTGAGTAGGTACACAATTGTTTTTTTTGAATGGCAGACGAGTTTATACGTCACACAAACTTGACAAGAAAAAAAATACTTAAATGGTTAATATGACTATTGAAGGCATATATATCCTTAAAAAATTATCATATTTATGTCTTATATTAATCAGCCCTCTGACTAAACTGTTATTTGTTTTACAAGCAATACATGGAGAGTACAAACAATCTGATGGAACTTTATGAGGATAAAGATGGTCTGCGCAAAGAAGAAGTTGCTGCTCTGTCTGGACCAAATGAATTTGCTGAGTTTTATTCTCGTCTTAAGCAGATCAAGGAGTTTTATAAAAGACTACCAAATGAGGTAAGTTTTGTCTAAATTATAACAAATTTTAATCCACTTGATGACCATGTTGCATTTAGTTCAGTAAGAAACAAGGAGTATTGTCTTAAAATCAATGATTAAAAATGTTGTGTAACGATGACAACAAAAATAAAGCGGTATGTTGCCTTTAATTTATGGAGTGCCTAACACCACCATTACTACCTACTCCATATACATAAGTTACATTTCTTAGGATTTAATTGGTATGTAGCCTACATAACTGATTGTCCAGATAGCCGAGTGATCATAGTGCTCACGTTTAAATATGAAGGTCGCTGATTCAGTTTAAGAGATATCTTTGCCAGGCCCAGATGACATTTGTTGTTGGGCTTTCTTTCAATTAATGGTGCTATTTCACAAAAGGTCAACGTTAGATAGTAACAAGACTAGGGTTTAGCCAGTTCCCATGTTAAATTAACAATCCCAATGGCGTTACAGCCGTTAAGAACATCAAAATAAAATATTAATAGGTACCTAAGTCATGTTCAGCTGTGCTGTCTGCTGTCTAAATGAAATAAGACACTGTCTTATTGAATGCAGTTTTATGTTTAACATTATCTTACACTGTAGCTATACCTTTATCTTAACATTTTACAGATTTGTGTCCCAATGTCAGTGGAATTTGAAGAGCTAAACAAAATGAGAGAGAATCCCTCAGAAGAGTTTCAGAGTAAGTATTATGTTTTTACAACAATTTTTTACAACAAGTTTATTGCTAATCTAGACATGGAGTTTAACATAACCTTCCTAATATTTTGGTAATTTCGCCACTTTTAATGTATGAAATACCCTAGGTCTATTTCATACATGTTCTAAATTTGTCAGGCAGCAGATTAGAGCTAATTTCTTTCAACTTGACGATTATTTCATTTTGGAATATTACCATAGTGTCGGCATATTTCATTTATCTACAGTGTGTGCCAGTATTGGAGCAGTAGAGTATTTTCTAGTGAGTATTTAAGTACCTACTCGGCTCAACTGGAGCTTTCCAAGAAAACAGGAAAGGTCAAGCTTTTTAATGAGTTTACTGGAACATCTATATTTGTACAATATGGCTGAATAAACATATGATATTTATTCTAGCGATTTATTTTATAACTCTTAATGTCAACCGATTTTCAAACATACTGTGAATTTAGGTACTGGTAGTTGTTAAAATTGAGAAGAGAAGTATCGCTTGATTTTTATATTGCAAGGACAATAAAGGAACACATTTCTACATCTGTTGAATAAATCACAAAAAATTAATATATTGAGATTAAAAGACATAGTAATCAAGTGATAATCCTACTAATATTATAAATGAGAAAGTTTGGATGGATGTTTGTGACAAGTGAACGCGAAAAATACTGGTCGGATTGGGCTGAAATTTGGCATGATGATAGCTCACATTCTCGATTAACATATAGGCATATTCTTATATCAAAAATCCTTTCGGGCTCCGACCCAGTGGCTCTGGAGTTTCCCATGTTAACCTTATGAGAAATGGAATTATTGAATCTTAACAGCTGTTTCAATTAAACAAGTTGATTCTATTCTATGATATTCAATAGCATTAAAGTTACAAGGATTACCAACAGGGTGCAGCACTATTATTTCTTTTACATTTATGACAACAGCTAATTTGCAACCAAAAGGTGAGTGAGCGTAGCGAACGAACTTCAACCTGGAGGCGAGTTAGCGTAGCGAACGAGCTAACCTGAAGGCAAGTGAGCGCAGCGAACGAGCTCCAACCTAAAGGTGAGTGAGCGTAGCGAACGAGCTCCAACCTAAAGGTGAATGAGCGTAGCGAACAAACTTCAGCCAGGACGTGATTGAGCCATGCGAACGAGATAATCTTGAAAATTAAGAAGTTAAACGGGGCAAAGCCCGCGGGTTACAGCTAGTTTTGCATAATTTTTATAGTAACAACGTATAAACATGAAGTGAACAAAACAGATGGTCAAATTGGTCATTAATTTTTATACCAACTAACAAAAAACAACAAACAGCTATTTAATTTAATCAACTTACAGCAATGGCAAATACACAGGTAGAGTATTGTATTAGAGTAGAATCGTATCGTTGATTATAAACAACACTACAATGTGTGGATGTACTAAATAAATAATATAAAATACTGTATTTAGATTTTTAAGAGTGTAGTTTGATGGTTAAGGACTACCAATTATATCACATCATTTGGTTGAATTTGCTTTAGAGGTTTCATAACATAAATCAAAATGGCTTTGAATACATATAGCCAAATTGTAGGCCTATAGTGTCTGTATTTAAGTATTCTCATTTGAAACTAGGGCTACTCGAGTTGTATTTGTAAACTGTAGGTTAAATAAAAAAAACTTTATTTCAAATTGTGTTGTTTATGGATTGTTCATAAAGGATCGTAATTCTTTGTTCTGGGAAGCTCTATTTTGATATTTTGAAGCAATCATACATGTCATTTACCTTCACTAACTCGAAGCTTGAGGTTTTTTTTTAGACTCGACTTGATCAACTCATAAACTTACTACTTACACACCTCTAGTAAATGATCCCACACTCTAAATGATGGGTCTAGTCAATCTAACTAACTTGTGATAACATGGGTGGACCAACGCTTCTAGGTGTCGAGATTGCTTTGGCAAAAACCTCAAACAAACAAACCGAACAAGATTCACACTAACAAAATATTTGCATTGTGGCGATGGACAAGTCTATACACGCTTGGATGGGGCAACAGGGAGGTAGCTCTGTCAACAGCATAACATTGTTGTAGCATTTTGCAAAACTGACCTTTAACCGTGCTTTAGCTGACTGATATTGTTTTTATAAAATATTTAACTTTACTTATGCATTTGTAGATCTTGCTGAATTCACTGATGAAGAAGGCTATGGGAAATACTTGGATATGAATGAATGCTATGAGAAATACATCAACTTAAAAGGAATTGAGGTAAGTTTTTATTTAAGTTTAAAAATATCTGCAATTTAAAAATACAGCAGTAGTTATTTTAAAATAGGGTGAAGAAATTCAAGCAAGCGCGGGTAAACGGCAGGAGTAACTATGACTCTCTTAACTGGAGTGGAGCGAGTTGCTGTTTTGTTTACCTGTGCTTAAAAACTGTTTTTTGGAGGTTTTTTTCGAGTGTTGATGGGGTGTTTTGGTTAAGGTGCATCCCTTAGGGGTTCGTCAAGATTCTGGAACTTGATTTTGAACATTAGCTGGATTTTTCATCGACAAGCATCCAACAAGTGAAGGCCTAACCTCAAAAGTCACACTCGGTTGGTGAGCCCATTATTATATGTTATTGGACGTTTAGTTAGGTTTCTCACTGTGTACATAGATCTCATTCACCCTATTTTAAGGCCCACAATTGTTGTTCTGCCTTATAGGAACCTTTTTTAGGACTTTTTAGAAATTCTCCCCAACATCCAGTTTTGGGAGTTTTTTTTAGGGTTTTGTGGGCCAAAAGCCCCAAAGTCAGGAACAAAAACAAAATAGACATTGGAACACACCTTCCTGCCAAATTTTAATCTTTTTCGACCAAAAACAGCTTCAGGAGAGGTGTTAAACCAAAAACACAGGATCCTCATTTTTTCTCAAATCAACGCAGCCAGGCCAAATTTTTTGTGTCACAAAGCTTAAGGACGCTGCAAGGGTGCTTCCCACAAAATTGCATCAAAATCGGTTCGTGGGATTGCGCCAAAAAATCAATTTTTCGTTCCAAGAAAGCACATGTCAATTTTGAGGTTATTTCCGGTTTTCTCGGCAACAGAAAATTTTTTCGAGATTCGGTCCGGAGGCAATCCTTTTTTTTGATATCCGGACCGATTCCCGCCATCCCCAATTTGAAAAAAAGGCGGGAAGCAGTAGAAGATTTGTTTGTTGTGCAAACAGTGCAAATTTGAAAATTACCCTTTGAGGGATTGTTAGGGAAAAATCAAATCAGCATTGACCAAAAATACCCACAGGGACAAGATTCATCTTCCACGGGGATACAGGGAGTCGTAGGGAGAAGTGCGGGATTTCTACAAGAGACTTCAACGTGGGAAAGAACCGAAGCCGCTGTGAAACGCCAGAGACTTGAACGTTGGGTCGGTCTGGGCTCGGGAGACTTCAACGCTGGTCATCTCCGAAGTTCTGAAACTACAAAAAAAAAAAATTAAGAGAAGCTACATCTGTCCGAATTGACCAGAACCAGTGTATAATCTTTGTAAATAGTGCAAATAGTCCAGGTTTCCAAGGGAAATGTTCGCTCATCTTTTTTACTGACAAAAGCCACGCCCAGGATTCGGTTGGGGCTCCCAGCCTCCAACCGAGATGAAAGACTCAAAGGAGGAGTACCGGCAGCTCTTTGCCAGGTCAACAAAGACTGGTCACTCGCCGACTGGTTCGCTTGACAACACTATGTAGGATCAACAACAGGAGGACTTGGACATGGCAGGTCGTGAACGATCGCCGCTCAATGCTGCTGCGGATCGGGCAGCTAGGAAAGCTGCAGAGGCGGCTAGAAAAGCTGCAGAGCTGGCTTGCAGCAGTCTTGAAGCGAAGGAGGCTGAAGAGGAAGTAAGGCGACTGCAACGGGAAGAAGTCAGGTCAAAGATGTGGCAAGCTGGTCTGGGCACCGGGTCAAGCCAGTCTGGGTGTAGTGAGGCTTCCAGCAGAGACGCCAAGAGGAAGAGAGAGAACATGGATGAAGCAGGGCCTGCTGACTTCAGATATGCCGGAGGGGCAGTTGATCAGCCACATTTTGAAGAGGCTGCAAGGGAAATCGTCTACCACTGCGACAAGCTCACAGCACCGAAGAAAGCTGCCATCATGGAAAAGCTGAATGTCATGACCTCCATCGTGAGCCGCCAGGCAAACGAGATAGCCTATCTCCGTGGGCTAGTTGATGGGAGGGCTTCGATTGAAAGTGAGATAACAAAAATAGTCGGCTCCATGCCAATTGACGCTCCGTCATTGAGCAAAAGGTCTTTTGCTGATGCTGCCAGGGCAAGTCAGGTCTCAAGGACCAGCGCCATTGTAATAAGGCCGGGAGTTGATGAGCAGGGTAAACCTGCCTTGTCCTCATAAGGCACAAGGAAAGCTATCGCGGCGGCCCTGAATCCCAGAGAAGAAAATATCAAGATTGCCAGAATTCGATCTGGAAGGGAGGGGTCCATCATTCTCGAAGCTGCTGACAAAAGCAGTGCCAAAAAAATTCTGAACAGCAAGGCGATCTCAGCGGCTGGCCTCACGTCACGAAGGCCGGAGGGCAGGAAGCCAAAGGTCATGATTTATGACGTGCCCATGGAGGATGGAAACGGAGACGAGGCAAGACTCAGCATCTTTCACCAAAATGTGGAAGGGTTGGAACTTGACCAGTTCAAGGCGAGGTTCAGTGTTGTCAAACGATCAAAATCCAGGAGAGACGATAAAGAAAACTGGGTTGTAGAGCTCAGCGTTCCATGCTTCAGGGCCTTGTCTGGGAAAGAGAGATTGTTCGTCGGCTTTGAGTGTTGCCGCATCAAAGACTACGTGGAGGCCACGAGATGCTACAAATGTCAAAGCTACGGGCACGTGGCTAAACATTGCAGGGCAACATCCCCTACCTGCGGCCATTGCGCTGAGGAGCACGAATTTAGGGACTGCCCAAATAAGGACCGGAATCCAACATGCGCACCCTGTAAGAGGGCCAAGCGCCCGCATGATCATGCAGTCACGAGCAGTGTATGTCCTGCGTTTCTAAGAGCTCTGGAGGAGAGCTGTAAAAGAACTGATTATGGATGCTGAACGTGTGACCCCCGAACAAGGCCAACCCCTCTTGGACCCGGAGGTTGAAGACGAAGCCTACCTGTTTCCTTGGGCTCCGTGTCGTTGTAAACTCTGTCCGAGCTGGTTTCAGAGACCTGGCCCGCTCATGAAGCATCACCGAGCTGTACATGGGGATAGACCCATCTCATTCAAATGTTCAGGGTGTAAAAAAACCTTCAATGGCCCACATACGGCTGCATGCCACGCACTCACTGCACTCGTGAGGCCCAAGTTCCGAAACCCATTTCCTGTCAACACTGCGAAGCTCAATTCGACACGGAGCGTGGATTGGGTCAACATGTCCGCCACAGACATCCTGAGGCAAGATTTCTTTCCCCAGAGGTTGATTTGGATGCTGCCCAGGGACCGGGGAGAGGTCACCACAGGGCAACGTGGAGTCGTGCTGAGCTCGACACACTTCTTGAGCACAGTCACCTCATTGAGGGTCCTAGATATACTTGGAGGTTCGCCATTCTCCTTCCAGGGAAGTCCCCGGCTCAAATCAGGGATAAAGTCAGAGCGCTTTCCGCAAAAGGCATCCTCCGTAGAGAGGGTTTGGCTTTGGGTGCGCAAGAAGAGTTTGTGGATGAAGAGGAGGAGATCGCCGGTCGGCACTTGGTTGCTGGCGAGGAAGATGGGAATCTGGATTTACACCCTCACCATGGGACTCCAGGCGCTCCAATTGGATTAGAAGAGAATGGGGAGGGTCAGCCTCTTGAACATGAAGATCGTGCCTTGTTGCAGGCCTATTGGACTGCTGATCCTCGAGATACATGGCTTAGAAAGGAGCCTGGTTCCGAATTCGCTTTGGAGCTACACGACAGATGGGTGGCTGAGCCGGTTCTCAATTGGGTTTGGCTGGAAGACTTTATTGACAGGGTCACTGGAGCGGTCAAGGTCTCGGCTTGCCGGGAGGGCAACAGCTCTGCAGGGAGGTCTAGAAGGACTCAAGGGAAGGCCAAAGCACGGAAGAGGAGGGAATATGCTGAGGTTCAAGAACTTTTTAAAAGGGACCCTGCCCGTCTGGCTGAGCTGGTCAGGGCCAACAGAACTGAAACTGGGCTCAATCATCAAGAAATCTCACCTCCGAGGCACGAGCTAGAGGAAGCATACTCCAGGCTGTGGGGTTCAACTCACGAGGCTCCGATCAACAGAGCTTCGAGGGACGGCGAGATATTCATGATCAAGCCAGTGTCTGCCTCGGATGTCAAGAGGAGGCTCAGGAGAATGAAGCCGAGGGGAGCGCCGGGGCCGGATGGGCTCAGAAGAGAACACCTGTTGAGGTTTCCTGGCATTGCGCATGTCGTTGCTGGAATTTTCAACAACGTCCTCCTCGCTGGGAAATACCCTAAGGCATGGTCATTAAACACCACTTCAGTTATCCCCAAGGAGGGCAAAGATCTGTCGTTGGCCGGCAGCTGGAGGCCTATCACCATTGGTAACATTTTGGCCAGGATCTTCAGTGGGATCATCGAGGATAGGCTCAGGGAGAGTGTTGTGCTGGACGTGAGACAGCGGGGATTTGTGACGGGCAATGGATGTTTCGCCAACACTCGTTACCTAGACTGCTTATTGAAGATGGGAAAACGTTCGACTTTGGCTGCTGCGGTCTTGGATGTGTCTAAGGCATTTGACTCCGTCCCCCATTGGGCGATCATTGATGTTCTCGTCAGGTCTGGTGCACCGCCTGTCTTAGTTAAGGCGGTTGGGGGCATGTACTCACAGGCAAAGACTGTGTTCAAGAATTGTGGGGGCTTTGAGATCAGGATAAGAAGAGGTGTGAAGCAGGGTGACCCCCTGTCGCCCCTGCTGTTCAATATGATACTGGACCCACTCTTGAGACGACTGGAAAATTCCGAACAGGGAATGGATGTAGAGGGTATCAATGTTCCTGCACTTGCCTTTGCGGATGACTTGGTGCTGGTATCCAAGTGTGAAGCTGACCTACAGGACCTTCTCAATATGACCTCTGGGTTTCTGTCAGAGCTGGGCATGAGCCTATCGCCGGAAAAATGTTTCGTATTTGGTGTCAGATCTCTCAACAAGTCCTGGAGATGCACGGACCTGGCCGTCAACATCAACGGAAATCCACTTCGATGCCTAAATCACACTGAGGAATTCAGGTACTTGGGCGCTTTTTTCTCAGTCAACGAGGGACTCAGAAGCTGGGAGAACGCCCAAGGATTGGTTGACGCCATTGAGAGGACTCAACGCCTACGCCTCAAGCCTAGGCAAAAGCTGGAGTTGGCGTGTAGGTATGTTATCCCTGGCTACTTGCATTTGCTCATTGGCGACCCCCCAGGACAATCCAAACTACAAGACTTTGATTTAGCGATAAGAAAGTGTGTGAAGGAAATGTTTCACTTGCCAGTGCATACGTCCAACCAGTTCTTGTATTGTGCGAAGAAGGATGGAGGCTTGGGCCTGTTGGAACTGAAGGACATTGTAAGGGCTGCCAACCTCAAGGGGATTGTCACTCTCATCAATTCGGATGACCCTCTTGCCGCAAGACTATTCAGGGGAAAAGTTGAGACAATGGCCCAAAACACTGCTAGGTCCATGGGTTTGACTTGGCCCTGCTGCATCTCAGAAATTTCCAGATGGAAAGAGAAGCGAAGGAAGGAGAGAGCCAGGGACTGGGCGAGACAACCTACTCAGGGCAAGGGTGCCGAGTGTTTTAGGGGCAACAAGGTTGGAAACAGATGGCTGGTCAAGCCTGATCTCGCTCCAGGCGAAGAAATAGATTTGATAAGGATGAGAACCAACACATTCCCCACAAGGGAGTACTTAGCAAGACATGAGGTGGTTGACACGGCGTGTCGCAGGTGTCGCGCCGCTCCAGAAACGTTGGGCCATGTGTTGGGGGCCTGTCCTGCAGGCAGAGCGGCCAGGATCGGCAAGCACGACGATGTTGTGGAGGTCATCGAGAGGCATACTGTAGACTGTGGGCTGACCTGTGCCAGGGAACAGCTATATGCATCTAGTGAGGTTGAACATGAAATGGAAGAGGGTGAAGAGGAAAATATCAGGTGGCTGCGCCCTGATCTGGTGATCAAAACACCGGGGGGTGCAGTCATTGTGGATGTTTCCATCCGCATTGAGCAAGGGGACTCACTGAGGGAAGCCTCCAGGGAGAAAAAGGAGAAGTACAACCGAATCAAGGGAGCTGTTATACCAAGACCACAATCACCCACAAGGGGGACAATGCATGAGTCCCAAGTTTTTTTGCATCGCATGTCACATAATCAATAGTTACCATCACTCAAGTTCCTAAATGCTTGGATTGTCACCATAGTTCATTATACAGTTGTTAAGTTTTCTTTGTCAGAATTTTATCCTTGTAATTGTATTGTTGCCAAATGAGAGAAAAAGGAAAAGAGGAAAAAAAAGGGAAAAAAGGAAAGAAAAAAAAAATAATAATAAAAAAAAAAAATTTTTGCATGGGGAATCATCTTCTGCATGTGTTTCACCTCATCACAACATCATCATCACACCGACACAAGCATTCATTGAAGGTCACCACTTCGTTCACAAGCCTGATCACATCATCCCACTCATCATCAATCAGTCAACACTCATCATCGCTTAGCTCTTCACAATCAACATTTGGTCTTCAAAACCAGCAGGAAGCCTCCTCAATTCACTCATCATTAACATTCTTCATCCACCAGGGACCACAAACACCCACAAGTGGCCAAATGTCCAGTCACAACAAACATTGGAGGGAACCCGCCCCACCAGTGGCGTGAGAAAATCACTGGTACCGCAGGTGTCAGGGGCCCAACACTGGATTCTCCAGCCAGTGTCCTGACAACATGGTGTTGGCTTCGCGGGGGCAGTGGTTGCTCCCTTTGGGCGCTATGGTAGGGATAGGACAGAGAGCAAGTGCGTCAAGATCTGCACAGCATGCGCGTCACTAAGTCCGCCACGGCGGCCAATTCCTCCACCCAGCTTGCTGGGGAATGAACCAAATTAAAACACTCACCCAAGACGGGGAATTGTGGGCTATTGCTCGACAACAAAATAGCCAAATGCCTCGTCATCTAATTAGTGACGCGCATTTTGCAAGCCCCAATCCCTAGCACGAAGGAGGTTCAACGGGTTACCCGGACCTTTCGGCCAGGGGAGACACGCCCTATTTTATTTGTTTTTCTCATAACAAGAAGAGTTAATGTTCTGAGTATTCGCAGTTAGCACGTGTATTGATGATACAGAAGTATTAGGTTTTGCGCCTTAAAACCTAACTTTGGATTTAATAGTTGGCCTGCTAATCCGGCACTTTCAGTAATCTGTATTGGTCTAAAGGACTAAAAATTTTTTTTAATGCTGTTATAAGCCATATTCGTACATTAGGCAGAGTATGAGCAATCAGCATAATAGAAAGTGAACAGCAGACATCAGCAGCGATCGGAAAGAGCCTGTAGGCCTAGGGATCATCATAAGCTCTAACATTGGTGCTATTTTCTCTAGTCATGCAGTAATGGCTGTTTTTAGAAGACCCATCACTAATCCGGCACATTCAATAATCCGGTACCGCTTAAGTGCCTGGCTTGCCAGATTAGCTAGTGCCTATTTTGCCGGTATATGTGATATAAAAGGATTAAGCAACTTTTAGCTCTAGCATAGCCTAGTAAAAGAAGAAAACCAGCCTACCCAATCCACTCCCATATAGAAAATATGTACAAACAGAGGTACCACTTTTATTTTTTCAATTAAAATAAAATAAAAAAAACATTATTTATGACTAGGTTTGACCTGTGGAAGTCACATGCCAACAATTTATTGTTTATTTTAGATTTTAGGAATACCTTTCTTTATGTACATTTACATTCTTGGCCTTGGACAAATTTACATTAGATTCAACCTTGCAATGTTACTTAAATCGGTTGAGCAATGTAAGAGTTCTGGTTCTACATTCTACTCTTATTAGCCTTAGCTCAAGCTAAGGCATATATACACCTATATATCTATATCTAAATATCTATATAAAACACGTATTTGAACATTTTACTCTTTAGGATGTTTTAAAAACTTAAAAAGTTACATTACAGACTCTTCAATTAAATCATAAATTAAGGGTACCAATTAATTTTAGCAATTTATTATTAGAATATGTTCATCTTGTTCTAACTAAACTTTTAATTTCTTCCTTGTCATCAATATTTATATCTGCATCTTCTAATGTAGTCAGCCTCTGAAAAATTAAGGTACCGGTAATTAATTAATTATATTTAAAAAAGAAAAATATAAATTTGTTTTTATGGATTAGACAATCTTATTTTAAATATCATATTTAAAAAAGAAACTTATTTAATAGTGAGTAGGCCCATAGTAATTAAATCCTGCAGAGTCATATTTTTTATGAAATGTTCATAATTACGAGTTATTTACTATTCACAAGAATTTAAATTTTTCTATTAGGATTTTATCTTTCTTTTGTAAACTTTTGCCAATTTACAGCCTGCAATATTGTGAAAAAGTGTAATATGTTGGTTGTTATCCTTAGATAATCCAAGAGTTAGTGTCACATAACTTTAAATTCCTATTGATTGGCGAATTATTGTGTTTGCAATATTTAAAACAATACTAAGGTAATTCTGTAAGAGCAAAAATCATTTTTAAGTCTTGGGACAAGTGATAAAAAATAAACTTGTTCTTACCTTCAAGTCCTTATTCCTTTGTTGCTGGGTTGCTGTATGTAAATTGATGATTATTTTACGATACCTTAATTCCAATTCTTTTATAGCCTCGTCCACTTTATTTTCTTTCGTACAATGTTCTCTCTCAGCTCCATTATACACAAACTTCTGCAGGGCTTGAACCTAAATGGACACTTTGCTCATTGGGAGAGTATTTTAAAGTCCTTAACCTTAGACAAAAATATGTAAATTAAACTGTAGTGGAAAAATAATAATTTGAAAAACTTAAAAACAAACCTAAAATATGAAATAATGGAAAAGAAAAAAATTGTTTTCCTCAGAATAATTTTATTTTAAATCAAAGAACAATTTACAACCAAATAAATAGGTTCGTGATTTATGTTTGTGGTGTATCACATCAGCCGCTTACCTGAAGATCTTTCTCTTTTTTTAAGTTGGTTATTCTCTGTTCGTAGTCATGTTGAAGTTTAAGACATTTCCTTGTCATTTTGTTTGCTCGTTTCTCGACTTCATGCAACTGTAAATCGAAAACCACTCTCATTAATTCAAATTATTGAAGGAAGCCACTCTTAAACAAATTATAATTATAATTGCATTCTCATGATTTATGATAAATTTTAGTCTTTCTAATTAAATGTTAATTGGATTGAATCATATATCACATTAATTTTAATATCTGAACAAATGATCTTTCTGTACAAAAAGGTGTGCTTGTTGTTCTGCTCTTAACCTATATATAAATCATGGTCTAACACACTTTATGTTTACTGAGATAACATTCACTAATCAACTTATACTCAAATTATATTTAATTGAAAAACCCATCAAGGTTTCTAAAAAATATCATAAAAAAGTAATTGCACCATGTGGAATGAACATAGGCCTACATAAAATGTAGGGCCTATTATGAATTCTTATTTTCAAAGCTTTAGATAGGTACCGTATTAGAATTTTTCCTTAATCTCAAATGAACGATATCTTTTACCTAACCTGCCATGTTAAACTTCCCTATCCCAACCAAGCGTGATGTATACAACTTCTTTACTTCACGAGTGATGTAATGTTTCAAAAACTCACTCGGTGAAGTAATGAAACCCATTTAAATAAAATCAGTGCTCAACTTAAAAAAAATATACCTCTATGGAGCCAGCGACGGTCAACGCTAGAAATCAGCTGTGCCCTTGAATTTTATTGTTATGCTTTTTAAAGAATTTTCCTAACCTAGCTTTTGTTTGTAAAAGAACGCTACTGTTAGAAGATGAGTGAAATAGATAATGAAAAATATTGTACGTAACCCATGTATATTGTCGGGTCAGGTAAAGTCTTGTACGTTACACGTTACACAAGAGCGTGTTTACATCACCTAGGTGAATTATGCAACTCGCTTCCGCTTGTTGCACAACATTCACCTGCGTGATGTAAAAACGCTCTTACTACACTTGTAATGTAAATAGCTATTTCATGTGTGAATGGTATTACTGACCCTTCTTTACTGTGGACTGAAGTAAGGTTTCTAGATCCAATTTGAGGTCTTTACCAGTCCTCCTTTCAGCAAGAGCTACTTAAAACTTTCCCTACCTAACAAGATTGTAAATAAGTATTTAGTTTACCCTACAAAACACAATACTGTTTTGAATACTGCACCAAACTTTGTCTTACCCTTTGTTGCAAAAGTTCTTGATTTTTCATCGTTGAGACCTCTAACTCCTTTTTAAGGTTCCCAATTTCTTTATTGATGCTGCCATCTCTTTCTTTCATCATCAGTTGATACCAAGCTACCTTTAAGCATAAAATATCAAGCTTAGGATACAAGCGGTTTTGTCTGTTTTTTCTAGTTAAGTAACCATTCTTGTATTAGTTTTTCTTATACAATATTTTTATATTGTGAAATATAATTAATATTAATACATTATTGGTTATTACTAGGCCTATACAAATTGTCTATTTAGTTATTTAGTACAACTAACTAGTGCACAGTTAAGAAATGCATATATCTCCTGAAAAACATAATTTAAATAGCAATCCGATTTAAATGTATAGCCTACTATATACAGGGTGGGGCAATGAGAACTATATACCTAATTTATTTTAGCTACCAGATGATAAATATTTTTTATGACCAAGTGACTCAAATGTCAAAATTTTCAAGGATGTTTGAAGGATGTTATTGAAATAATGGCTTATCGAGTAAAAAATGGTATACAAATACCTTTTGTTTTTATTTATTTATTTTACCTGTAGTGTAAAAATTATAGGTTTTGTGTTCTTTGTAAATTGAATAATTCCACCCTGTTCAATAGATAATTGACAATAGCTGATCACAGTAAAAGATGCTTTGTCAGCTCAAATTTTAAAGTGGGAAAGTTATTAGTTACCTACCCATGATAGTAGATGAAGACTGAAAAATGGTTTATGAGCTATTTTTTTCAACTAACAACATTTCAGATTATTACCAAAGAAAACTCACTTCTGCTTCCTTTTGCACGATCTGCTCTTTTAGTCCTAAGATCACATTTTCATACGCTTTCTTTGCTTCACAGTGTTTTTTGACAATTTCATCAATTATTTTCTTTGATTGATCTTCTGTAGCCTGAATCATACATCTTAAAATTATAAAACGTTTAGAATTATCAAAATAAATAAATATAAAATACAGTAGAGTCTGGATTACCAAAGATAATGTGGAGTAAGTGTACCTAAGATTGTCAAAACTCATATAGGCCTAACACAGACTTTGTTGCGGCGAATAGGAAAATCAAATTATAACATCGTTAATAGTATGAAAAGGACATTTTAAAATACATTGTTCCAAAATTTGACTTTAAAGCTACTATGAAAAATCAAATCATTTTTTGAAGAAATCGTCAGACAAATTAGTTATCACTGACCACTGGCCAAGTTGCGTTAGTATGTGTAGACTATATCAGATGGGTTTGGATTTACAGCAGTTCAAATTTCATATAGCCTAGCTGTGTTGTGTTTAAACAAGCAAAAGTATGCTTTGAACACACAGTTTAGTATTTGTGATTAAACACAGTGTGGTTTGAAGCCTGTTGTATATATCGAAAACGTACAACTAAAGGTTTTTGTTGCATTGGACAGTAGCTTGGTTACACCAAATCTCGGTTAAATTGGGGCAAGGACAATACCAGCTCTACTGTAGTGTTAAAAGATAAAAAAATATATAAATAATAGTACTCTTCTTGTTGTTTTGACTTGTAGTTTGTGGAATACTAGTGAACTAATGTGAGCTATGATTTATTGATAACTTGAAAACATGTAGTTTATAGCATTGACTTTTGGGTAGGTACTGAAGTCGTGTCAATAGTCAAAGGTTGTATTTAGAAAATTATATACTGATTGGGCCATCTATCTTATGGTATTGTTTTTCCAATGTTGTTGTCTTGGCAGTTAATGTTATTTTCAAAAATGTTTAGCTTATTTTCAAAAATAGAAATACTTAGACATGCATGAATAACAATTACATATACGCATATAATTTGCATGGTATTTGGGATATTGTCATTAGTTTAAGAATTGCATGAATAAAATTGTTTGAATTGAATTGAATATACATAACTCGGTTAAAGTAACTTATCCTGAGACTTAGAACTGTACCTGTAATTTGACTTCCCAGTAGTTTTTGAAGTCTTCTACTTCCTTTGACTTTGATGTTTCCATTACAGCTACATCAATTCCAAACTGAACCAACTTCTGTTCAAGGTCTATAGCTTTCAGTTGCATGTCATTTAGCTTCATTGTTAAAACTGTTATTGTATCAGAAGCGTCTTGTTTGTATTTTAAAAATTCTTCATGCATCGGTTGAAGCTCAGGCAACCTAGAATTTTGAAATTAAGGTACCGTATAAAACTAATTTCATTCAGACTAATTTCTTTGATATCTATCTAATATATAAAATTCTCGTGTCACAGTGTTTGTCTGCAAACTCCTCCGGAACGACTTCACCGATCGTTATGAAATTTGGTGTGTAAATTCTGTAGGTATGCGAATCGGACGTAAACTATTTCCCGTTTCGAAATTCTTAAAAGGGCTCCGCCCCAGTGGCTCTGGAGTTTCCCATGTTAACCTTATGAGAAATGGAATTAATGAATCTTAACAGCTGTTTCAATTAAACAAGTTGGTTCTGTTCTATGATGTTCAATAGCATTCAAGTTACAAGGATTTCCAACAGGGTGCAGCACTATTATTTCTTTTACATTTATGACAACAGCTAATTTGCAAACAAAAGGTGAGTGAGAGCGTAGCGAACGAACTTCAACCTGGAGGCGAGTTAGCGTAGCGAACGAGCTAACCTGAAGGCAAGTGAGCGCAGCGAACGAGCTCCAACCTAAAGGTGAGTGAGCGTAGCGAACGAGCTCCAACCCAAAGGTGAGTGAGCGTAGCGAACGAACTTCAACCTGGAGGCGAGTTAGCGTAGCGAACGAGCTAACCTGAAGGCAAGTGAGCGCAGCGAACGAGCTCCAACCTAAAGGTGAGTGAGCGTAGCGAACGAGCTCCAACCCAAAGGTGAGTGAGCGTAGCGAACGAACTTCAACCAGGACGTGATTGAGCGATGTGAACGAGATCATCTTGAAAATTAAACGTAACGGTACTTTCTTTCCATCGGTCTGTCTTAGGGGAAACCTATAACTTAGGCGATACGAAGTTCGCCGGGTCAGCTAGTACTATTATAAAAAAGAGGTGGTTGCTGTATGTATGGGAAAAGTAAACGCGAAAAATACTGGTCGGATTGGGCTGAAATTTGGCATGATGATAGCTCACATTCCCGATTAACATATAGGCATATTCTTATTTCAAAAATCCTTTCGGGCTCCGCCCCAGTGGCTCTGGAGTTACCCATGTTAACCTTATGAGAAATGAAATTATTGAATCTTAACAGCTGTTTCAATTAAACAAGTTGGTTCTGTTCTGTGATGTTCAATAGCATTAAAGTTACAAGGATTACCAACAGGGTGCAGCACTAGCACTATTATTTCTTTTACATTTATGACAACAGCTAATTTGCAACCAAAAGGTGAGTGAGCGTAGCGAACGAACTTCAACCTGGAGGCGAGTGAGCGTAGCGAACGAGCTAACCTGAAGGCAAGTGAGCGCAGCGAACGAGCTCCAACCTAAAGGTGAGTGAGCGTAGCGAACGAGCTCCAACCTAAAGGTGAGTGAGCGTAGCGAACGAGCTCCAACCTAAAGGTGAGTGAGCGTAGCGAACAAACTTCAACCAGGACGTGATTGAGCCATGCGAACGAGATAATCTTGAAAATTAAGAAGTTAAACGGGGCAAAGCCCGCGGGTTACAGCTAGTATTTTATATATTTTACTCATAACTTATTGTGAGTAATATTTAGAAATAACAAATAACTCTTAAGTAGATAACAAAGAACGAACACCTTACCTTTTCTTCATTTGAACGTTTTCTTCTTTCAAAATGGCGATCATAGCTGTTTGCTCATCTAACAGTTCTCTGATGTACAAAACCTCACTCTCATGAATGCCACTTTGGGCCTGTTGAACAAGTAAAAAATATCATTTCAAGCCACAAATTACTGTTAAAAATAAACGTCATCAGTGATCTGACACATACTTTCTCCCATTACTTTGTGAACAACCTTTATCATGGGTAAGCGATGAGAGAACAACTATGATGTTTAATAGGTAAAATCGCAAAAGTTGTGTATACTTTTGAACCGTAATTTTTTCAGAAATTGCACAATTTTGTTTAGAATCATAAGGACCTTGACAGACAAATTTAAATCAGAACAGGTAAAAAAAAAATCAATTTTTCAGTTTGGATGGAAAAATAACATAAGTTACAATAACTTTTAAACCGTAAGTTTTACAGCAATTGTTGCACTATGTTGTTAAGAATTATAAGGACTATCACACTAATTCCAAACAAAACCGGTAAAAAAAATCAATTTTCTCTTAATTTATGGGGTTTTTAATGGGAAAATAAAATAAATTACAATAACTTTTGAACCAAAATCTTTAGAGGAGTGGGAGTTCTACCATTTTGTTCAGAATTTAAAGGGCTACAACATATAACATTTGGGCCATTTTTGAGAAAATTATATTTTTTCGTTATTCCTATGGGTTTTTATGAAAAAATAATACTAAAATAAAAATTTCAAAAAAATAAAAAAGCCTGAAGATACCATAGATTAGTACCTAACCTACTTATCAAATTTCATCAAAATCGGACTACAGGTGTGGTCTGTAGCTCTTTACACATACGCACATACAGACAGACAAAACACACGGATAGAGATCACATTGAAAACCACTTTTTTGGGTTCAGGGGGACCCAAAACGGATATCAATGAACGGACTCAAAACTCAAAAATTTTGATGAAAACAATACTTTTTCCATATACTATGTACAGGGGGAGAAAATAAAAATGGATCGTAAAAATCTACTTAATTGCTAACAATTACCTCTTGCTTTTACTGCTTCTTACTGTGATTGTTAGTAATGATGATTGTATTTGAATAGTTTTATACACAGCAAACCATTTATCTATACCCCAATAAATGTTATATACTTACACATTGTAGGTGAAGAATTCTGACCACTTCTTCCTGCCTCTCCTTCAATGAAATTATTCTCTGAAACCAAAAATAAAAGTTGATTATATATATTCTTGGAAATAGTTTTACCTACTTTTGTTGTTATTTTGAAATAGTAACATAACCAAAAGTCCATGAACTCTCACTTAAACACTAGGATATGATTTATAGTTATGCAAATCATTTAAACCAAGTTAGCTTTGTCTTACGCAATGTTTTAAATTTTAATCGTGATAATGAGTTAATTCCTTGAAGTCACCAAAAACCCCCTTGAACTGGAAATTTGGAGGCTGAGTAGTTTGCATGCCCATCTCCAAGCAATATAAAGTTCATGCTTACATGTACATAGTTAAAGAGTTTTGAATAGTGACATTGACTATATATATTGAGGTATATATAGTCAATGATAGTGGTAAAATCAATATGAAAACAACACCACACTGATAGATAATAGTACATATCCAAATGATTATGAATAATATTATTGTATTGTTATTTTCTTTAAAAGACTAATTAACTGACAAAAAAGCAAATTATTGTGTTAAAATACCTACTGCCATTTTATCTTCAGATAAGACCATGATGTTTTAAAAAATTAATGTTATTTAATTTAACTAATAAATAGTAAATTTAGCTTGCCAATTAGTTTGGATAAGTTATAAAAGATTGTTACTAGGTTACATTGAAAAGAATGTAGTGGATCCTAGAACGTTTAGCTGGTTAAAAATGGCAAAGTTATTTGCCTTACACAACTATCACATTAAATAGCTAGAACCCTAATTCATTATGCCTAAAAGTCTTGTAGGCTGTAAATAGATAAATATCACCTTACTATGTATTCAAGAAAACTTTAGGTTGCCATTATTGAAAATTTACAATTTATTAAATCGTTTAATATTATCCTTTAAGCCATCTTCTTTAAAATTTCTATATCTACATCTTAACTCCTCAGTTGTTTAAAAATGAACAGGTGTTTGATGGAACTGAATTGTAGTTTAGAACACACTGCAACATAGTGACAGATGTTTTAATTTAATTATGGTTTACAGTAAGTTTTAGCACATTCGCTGATCCGTCACAGCTGAATCATAGAAACCAACGCATTAAGTGTTAGTTATAAATGATTTAATTTCTGCACTAGTCAAAAGGGATTGCATTATTGCCTTTGCAGTTAAATATTATTTAGGCCTACTTATTATTAAACTAATTGGGTTTCATCTTTCATCACAATTTTTGGTTTGTATCACAATTTTTATGGCACCAGTCAAAGTCGACTTAAAATAACAAAAGCTCACATTCTGATTTATGCCACACCTTAAGTGTTAACAGCAGGTATTGCTTGGTTACGACTGATAATTTATCCTGTCCATTGTAGTAAGCATAATTTGCCTTACAGAAAATGGACTACATTTCCTACCTGAGCAACTATGACCACCTGTATGAGATCCCAAAGGAGCGCAAGAACGCAGAATACCGCAAGTATCTTCACGCTCTGCTGGACTATCTCTACGGCTACATCTCCAGAGTCAAGCCTCTCCTGGATGTCAATGCTGAGGTTGACACTGTCATGAAGGAGTTCCATCCTGCATGGGAGAGTGGCACCTTCCCTGGCTGGCCGGTCAGTCACAAACACACCATTTTAAATTTGTATCCATATTTTTCATTGTTTTCATGATTTTGTTTTGTTTTTCTCTGTTGTTATAACTTTAAACTACGACCATTTTTTAATGTAGCCGTTTCAGTTCAGTTCTTAGAATAGAAAAGTGTCCCATAACAGCATTGTTCACTTTCATAACAGCATTGTTTTACTCAATGAGGTTCAAGGATGGAGAGAGAAGAAGTAAAATTGTAATGATTCGAACTTCAACAAATCAGCTTTTCAGGCCAATTTCATTGTTCAGTGGTGCAATTAGTGTTTGGTACAATGTTTTGTTGCATCACTGTCAGTAGCAATGAGAAAACGAAAACATAACCTCTCCTAGAAGTTATGAAAAGTGATTTTTTTGCAATTAAAACACTGTCGTAGGTAAAATAGTGTACCAACTCGCGTAAATAGTGTTAACAACAATCATAGAAGTTTCTAAGGCACTCGCCAACGCTCGTACCTTAAATTTTCTGCTTGGGGTCGTTGACACTATCTTTATGCCATTGTTGACTAAACTACCATTAAAAGCTTTTTTAAAGAGAAACAAACATCCTTTAGTGGTTCAGGACTTTTCCAAACCCTGATCCTGTTTCTTATGTTCAAACGTTCAAACATTATCAATAACTCAATGATGAAACAGCAAATTCGTCTAAAACTAAAACCAGCAACAGCAACTTTCTGCTTCTATATTTTTACTTAAAAAACAACGTTCTGATTTGAAGGCAACTACTAAAATGAATCCTGTCCAGTCAATGTCGAATCAAGGATTGTATTTAACCAATGTGTATATCTTAAAAAAGTTGATTTTTGAAGTATACAGTAAATTAAAATGCAGTAATTTGAAAACTTGAATTATTGAATTGAAATATTTACTCAATCTCGGAAATATAGGCCCTTGCTTAGAAAACCTCAAAGTTAAGCCAGAATTTAAGAGTCTAGTTTAGTTAAAGTAGAACCAAACATTTATTTTCACTTGAAATGTTTTTGTTGTTAGAAAGAGACGGGCAGTGTGCTGACGAACGTTGGAGCTCATCTGGATCTGTCTGCATTCTCATCCTGGGAGGAGTTGGCCTCTCTTGGACTGGACAGACTCAAGTCAGCTCTCATGGCTCTGGGCCTCAAATGCGGAGGGTAAGATTACCATTAGTTAACACCTATTTAATTTCAAAGTTAAAGTCGTTTTACAAACAAACAATGTTTACATTTTGAACTTTTCAGTCCTGACCAATAACCATGTATCAACAATATCCTAAATAAAATAAACAAGCTAACTTGAATTTTGAATTTGCTGTATAATTATTCTTTAACACTTATTCAATTGATTTTTCCATATCCAGTTAGATTTTGCTATGGAATGATTTTATCGTGCTTACAGAAATAGTGTATGGTAGTGGTTGGAACTATCGTTTCTAACAAGATTATAAATCAACCTACGAAATAGTACCTAAATAACTAAATAAATACTACCTAAGAGTTTAATATGCAATTTTTAATGGAGGTTTTCAACAGTTATCATGTCTTGTTAATTGGTTGGGCGTAACTTTTACTTCAAGTGTTATTACTGTTTTCATTTTGCTTTTAGAACACTAGAAGAAAGAGCACAAAGGCTGTTTAGTACCAAAGGCAAGAAATCTCTGGATCCCAATCTGCTGGCAAAAAGTAAACCAGGCAAAGGAGGAAGGTCACGGGACAATGAAAGACAAAGAGAAATCGCCTCTTTGGAAGCCCAAGTATACAGGTAGGCTTTGAAAATACAGTGTAGTAGATAGCTTTGTAGCTGACTGATTATAGTACTTGACTTATTTAACAAACAGAAAGGTTGGTGGTTCCGTTCTTGAGAAAAACCAGACACTTTTTTGATGCTGCCCTTGATTATATAGGACTTTTATAAATAGTCCCGATTTTTGAAATCACTGGTCCTCGTCACTAACAAATCCACATGAGGCATTGTGACAAATGACGATCTGCGATTTATTTAGGATGAATTTTAAATATCTTAAATATTAGCCCCATATTTTGGTAAATAAATAAACATCAAAGGTTTGGTAAGTATCAGCCGCCAATGGGCAAGGTAAACGTTATGCAACTCCACCATCCAGTATTTTATTGCAATGTAATTGGGTTTTAGTTGAGTTTCAAAAGTATTGGATACATCAATTGCTACGTATTCGATGGTTTGGTCATAGCATGGGATGTGTAGCCTGATTGTTCTGCCATTAAAATGTGTCAGCATTCCGTGTGACGTGTATGACTGCCGAACTGAGAGGTGTGTGAGTCCAGTTAGAAGAGTGTTTCAAAGGGTATTAATTAGGAACTCAAGGTTCCAAAAATGTCTATTAGTTTTAAACTAATTATTTAATTAAATACTACTAGATTCATTTTGTAGCTTCACAGTTTTATTGCCATATGATTATTTTAATCAACAACGGGTATGAATCACTAGCTTAGAGTGTAGGTCTGATGGGACAGATGTATTTTCATTTGTTCCCATTGTTATGTAGGTTGTCAGAAATAGTAGGAGAGCAGCGTCTGGCTACCAAGGAGAACGTACAGCGCAAGCAGGCCAGGACGGAGGGCGAGAGGGATGACTCTGATGTGGACGCCAGTGCCTCGGACACTGATGATGAGGATGAGGACGGTGTTCCTTACAACCCCAAGAACCTACCTCTGGGCTGGGACGGCAAGGTAGGCATCCACTCAGTGTTAAGAGTTCTGCTCTTTAAACTCGTATTGTTTATTTCAAATCAAGTGCTTTTTATATTATTTAAAAATCTTCCTTGTCGCTCAAATGATCACCTATTATGTGTGAAGCATTTAACTGCAAATGGCTGTTCTAGTATTTATTTATCTAAAAAAAAAAAACTTAAATCAGGAGATCAGCTGATATTTTTTTAACAGAATTTGTCCAATTATTTGAGGTTGCCATAGGATCACGTTTTTGGGTTAATAATGGTGTTAATTTTATTAGACTAAGTGTAAGAACAAATTAAGGATGTAACAAGAACACAAGGGCCTAGGTTTTTAGGATTTTTTTTGTGAGGGTAGCAAGCTTACCTGAATGGGAAAGAGTCCAAACTGGCCTAAGAGACACAAAACTTTACACTATATAGCCTACACAAAACTATGTAAGAATAAATTAGTTTGTTTTCAGCCAAATAGCTTCTCTATGACTAATCATTGTTTCAGCCAATCCCTTACTGGCTGTACAAACTGCATGGACTCAACATCAGTTACGTGTGTGAAATCTGTGGCAACTTTACGTACAAGGGTCCTAAAGCATTCCAGCGGCATTTTGCTGTAAGTATAGTAAATTTCATCACTAGGAAAGACACTTTTTGCCTGTTTTATTTATTGTACAAATATAAATAGGCAACCTAAGTTATAAAACAATAATACTTTTCATGTTTCCAAAGTTAACGCTCCCAATGACTACCATCTTGTTTTCAATTTTGTCTTTTATAAACAAAGACTGTTTATTTAGGTATCCGATCCAATCATTTTGTCTATTAAGATTGTTTTATAATAGTAAAACCGGGGTGAAGATGAACAAAACTCGGAAAATGTTTATTATATTTATTTTTATAAGAAATCATAAAAAATTTAATAAATAAAAAATATTGTATGAATCAGCATCTTTTTGTCTACATAAAACACATACTATAACAATCTTAACCCAATTGGTGTGTTAAAAAAAATTTTAACCGACCGTGTTTTTTTGTAAAAAAATTATGTCTCCCTAAATCCATGTATAGACCATTTGTCAAAAAACCCAAAATATTATATGAAAAATTTTTTTTAGCCTTTAAATAACTTTATTATGTTCAGTTTTTTGTGCTATTTTCAGATGTGGGGTGAAAATGAACACTAGAGCAAAGATACATTGAGTGTAATACAAAAGTATAGGGTGTTCATCTTGACCCCAAACCCGGGGTGAACATGAACAGGTATAATTTATTCTTTTTAAGTTAGATTTTTTGTATTTAATTTTTTTAAACTTAAGTTATTATATTAGCATAAGTCTCTTTATAAAATAACAAATACAATATATTGATATCTTATTTAACAAGAAAGTAATTCAAGAAAAACCAGAAAAAGTGTTCATATTCACCCCGGTTTAGGGTATATTAAATCAATATAAATACCTAAAAAATATTTCAATATTTGGTATCCACATTTCAAATTCTTTCTTATTTTGCTGATAATTTCTTTATTGTGACATGTCCTGTGGTAAAAACTCATTCAATTGGCTTAATGTAGTGTACAGCAACAAATTAACTTTTACAGTTATTAATTTATACAGCCTTTATTAATCACATTTCTATTTGTCTCTTAAGGGGAGGGTTATTTTTTTAAAGGAACAGTGCAAATCTCCCATCATTACTAAAAGGAGGATTGTCTTGCTCTGCTTTAATGAGCAGTGTGATATTTTGATGAATTAATGAAAACAATAAATATATAATGTTTGAGTAGGATACAGTTCATGTTAGGGATGCAAACGAATCTGCTTGATTTGTTATAGACTTGTTTTCTTCGTGGCTTATATTACAGCATAGTCTCATCCAGTATCTCAGATAGTTTCAATAAATTACTTACACAACATACTAACTATATTGCCTTTCTCAGATTATCTAGACTGGGTTGTTAGTGGTAACTCTACAGTGTTGGTGACGGTGTCTTGTATTGTTTGATGTTGTAGGAGTGGAGGCATGCCCACGGTATGAGGTGCCTTGGTATACCCAACACAGCTCACTTCGCCAACGTCACACAGATTGAGGACGCCCTTGCGTGTAAGTTGCTGTTTGTATTGGTAATCTAGACACTCCATTCCTATGTTAAAGCTGTAGCCAGTTAATGGTAGAATTTAGCCACCGACAGAGTGAGGGATTATTGATTCCTGTCAAATACGCCAACTTGTGAACCAAGCCAAATTGGAAGGACAACTTATTGTAAGCTGTAGCAAACACACATCAACATGCCACATCGACATCGTTCATGTCACATCGTCTATCACAGTATCACACAGCCTAGACTAAGAATTTCCATTTACCTGGTTGGAGTTTCAGTAAAATATTCCCTTAAAATTGTCCGTTTATTTTATATTTAAATAACATTCATTTTAACAAGTACTTTGGTTTGCTGCTACAGGGAGGGTAGCAAAGTGTGTTTTTAGTAAAAATAACTTAGTATAAAATAAATATATTTGCCAAGTTTGATCTAAATAAGGCCTAACATTGTGGTTATGTTTTTAGTATGGGAGAAACTGAAGGTTCAGAAGCAGGAGGAGCGATGGCAGCCAGAGCAAGAAGAAGAGTTTGAGGATTCTCTAGGCAATGTGGTGAACAGAAAAACCTTTGAGGACTTGAAAAGACAAGGGTTGCTGTAAATGTCAAAGTGTTTCGATAATATTTAATTTCAATTGTATGTAACGTAAATGTCTATCTATAAAGATTTTATCTAATAAAATTTGTATCGTTTATTGAAAACCATTTTTAAAGTATACAACTTTTAAAATTAAAGTACTTTACAAATACGTCACTAAAATACATAAAACGAAATATAATACAATCTTGTCGACAAAAGAAAAATTAAATCAACATTGTTAAGTAAGTTCAGTCCTCAGACTCAAACTTTGCTGCATTCTATTAAGAAAGTTTGGTGTTAGAACTGTTGCCAAATGTATGTTTTAATTTGGCGCGATCCTACACTCTTTTCTATTATATCCTGTAGCAATGTATTATCAAGTAAATTAAATTAAATTTTACAACTCTCTGAAACTTGAATATAAAAGGTTAGCTAGCACTTTGCTGCACACGAGAGCAATGTTTACGCACAAGCCGCAGGCGAGTGCAGAATGATCTCGAGTGCAGCAAAGGCCTTTTTCACTCGTGTTACACATTATATTTTTCCTACAGTCACTATAAAGCATATAAATAATTAGTCTTTCAAACACTATACAACAGGTTTTTAGGTTCAGCTGGCAACACAACACAAATGGTGCCCTAGAGAAAGTAGTACCCACGGTCCGTATCACTCCGCTATTTTTCCTCGGCAAGAAATGTGCCCCGCGATTTGAGAATATAGTTCCATATGTTTTTGTAATTTGAAGTGGTTTCCGCGCCTAAAAAAATGCTTTACAGGTATTTTCTTGTTTATTAAGATCGTAGGAATGTTTTAAAAACGTTTAAAAGAAAAGTCCAGAAAGTTCAGAAATCCCGAAGCTACAAACACAAAATGACAGGTTAAATCGTAGTTATAATAGTCAATCAGCTGCTCATAGTATTATTATCTTTAAGTGTTGCCAACCTATTTCCAAGCGTACACGGATTACGTGCATAATAGAACCATGCTGTTTTGTGTTGTTTCGTTGGAATCCTGATGTGCGGCAAAGTATAAACCGTATGACAAAGTATAAACCGTACGGCAAAGTATAAATATGCAGCAATTAGCAGCATTCTGTACTATAAACAGTACAAGGAAGCCAACTTTGTCGGGTGACTGTATTTGACTGGATTTTTTCCTACAGTCACCCAACAAAGTAGGCTTCCTAGCACAGATTATAGTTCAGTTCAGAAAGCCTTACTTTGGAGCACGGTTTTTACATTGGCGCACAGGTTTTACTTTGGCGCACACCAGTATTCCAACCAAACAACACAAAACAGTGTGCTTTTATTATGCACCTGATCCGTGTACGCTTGAAAATAAGTTGGCAACACTTAAAGATATTACGATTACGAACAGCTGGTGCAGCGTTTCCCATTTCGTTCAATGTTTGGATATAACCTAACCTAAAAACGTGTTTTACAGTGTTTGAAAGTCTAATTAGTTATATGATTTATGGTAACTGTAGGAAAAATATAATGTGTAACACAAGTGCAAACTGCTCTTGCTGCACTCGAGAAAATTTCCACACTCGCCTATGGCTTGTGCGTAGACATTTCTCTCGTGTGCAGCAAAGTGCCACTTCGCCCACTAGTTAAACAAATAACTATTTACAAAAGGAAATCAAAACACGCTACTACCAGGAACAAGTTTTGATAATCAGTTTTTTGCTTAATTTAGAAATGTAGGCTATAACCTTTCTAATATTTCACTCATTTCCCCACTTTAAAAACATGATATAATCTAACACATACAGGTATTTTGTATCAGGCAGCAGATTGGAGCATTTTTGTTGTTGCTTACTTCATGTGTGATTTGACAATATTCTCTTGAGCAATGCATCCTCTCTAAATACACTAATTAGTAAATTATTACAACACTACAGGATGGTGATTGTCAAAGTGATTTACACTAATGTAGTCTGGTGGACAGTCTATTCAGAGCAGGGGGAGGTGCAGGTGTGAAAGAAGCTTGTTTATTGGTTTTTGTAGCAAAGAAGTAAATTATACAGGCCTATACAGGGTGATTTGTACTCAGTGTGACAAAATTTTTTTGATGTAAGTACAAAGTAAATGAAGTGTGATGATGCATATCAAATGTTCCAAGTCTCAAAATTAGCGTCCCAAAAAATTATTTTATGTTTTTCAAAAATAACCATGCTTTTAAACTTAATACAGCGATTTCTCAATTACCTGTATATGGATTTAAGTAGATAATGTCATTTTCGTGTTCTACATTAAATTTTGAACAAGAATAATGGAGAATGACGGAGGATCAGTTGTAAAAACTCCATTGTAAATAGATTCAAAGATAAAAATTAAGATATTTGATAGAGATTTTAAAAACAATGGTCTATTGCATTTTTCACACCCTGTATACAAGAAAGTGTCGGAATATGTTAAAAACTGCGCCATTTTATAAGCTTTCCAACCATATGCTACACTATTGAGGTTTAGATATTTTTTTGTTTGTTTTAGTGGTTTGAATACCAGAAAACAGGGAACTTTTTTACTGTTTTTACTGTTCAAGCTGAATAAAAAATACAACTTTTGCTCAATACATGCCGACTTTCTATGTTTTAAATGTTAAAGACACCATGCTTTGTAGTCTTCAAACCATTAAAGCGTACATAAGCAGACATAAACCTCAATAGTGTAGCATATCGTTGGAAAGCTTATAAAATGGCGCAGTTTTTAGTATATTCCGACACTTTCTTGTATACAGGGTGTGAAAAATGCAATGGACCATTGTTTTTAAAATTTTTACCAAACATCTTAATTTTTATCTTTGAATCTATTTACAATGGAGTTTTTACAACTGATCCTCCGTCATTTTCTATTATTCTTGTTCAAAATTTAATGTAGAACACGAAAATTACATTATCTACTCAAATCCATATACAGGAAATTGAGAAATCGCTGTATTAAGTTTAAAAACATGGTTATTTTTGAAAAACATAAAATAATTTTTTGGGAAGCTAATTTTTAGACTTGGAACATTTGATATGCATCATCACACTTCATTTACTTTGTACTTACACCAAAAAAATTTTGTCACACTGAGTACAAATCACCCTGTATATAGTTTTTCCAGTATATGTATTCTTATTGTTTTGTGAGTGAAAATTTAAAAACGTACGTTTTCATGTCCCTGGCCTTTTACTTCGTAGATACTGGATTTGTAGTTTATTATTATGTGTTTTAATATTTTTTGGGACGGGGGCAACATGTTACACACATTTATTTGGTTTTAAATAGGTTCTAGGTATTTTTTTCGTATTTTTAAAGTCTCTAAATTCACGACCATGACGTGTCCCTAAGGTACGTTTTCCAACTTTCACGCTGTTTTTAGACTAATTATTCATGCCGAAATATATAAAGCCATATTTTTATGTCATCAATGGTTATTAAACTTACAAAAAAGGAGCATATTATAATTTTATTGTCATTGTAGACTGACTACCATGACAAAAAAAGTCTGTCCCTCGATTTGGCGTCACGACCATTTGGGAAAAATTTTCAACTTTGGAGCACGACAGTGGAAAGCCTGGCGTCGATGAAGTCAGTTGGTTTTAGAGACTAGTTCGGGGTGTACGTCAAGATTGTAGTGCCGGTCGTTTTGAGTTGAAAGGAGGAATTACAAGATTAATAAAGGAAAGATTGTGTTTTTTGTAATTTTGGTGTGTCCATGACCGTACGTAGTCATTCGATGAAGTAGACATGGTGTTAATTTTTGTTTATAAGATATTTCAATAGCTAGATTAACCTAGAAGTCCACTTTGTATCCTCGAACATGAGGTGCAGGGCTACCACCAGAACAGAGCCAAATAACACGTAATTTCACGACCAAAGTTTCACGACCATCGCGGTTTTTTTCACGACCAATCCAGCCTTATGGATTATAGTGTGTTTGGTCGTGACAATAACTTTAATATAATTGTAAATTGAACAGTTTAGTTAAATTGAAACACATAGTTTTATTATAACTAACAGTATAATTGAAGGATTGTTTAGAAAGATTTAGATTATTCCAGACAATTCACGACCGTACCGCTTGTCCCTGACCATCACGTTTATGATTTCTATCATAAAAATTTCAAAAATTAAAATATTGTCATATTTCAATGTTTTATACACAAAAGAAGCACACCTCTATACAAACATAACGATTTTTCGGGTCTCAGGTATGTTTTTTCGGAGTTATACAAACTTAAGAAGATTTTATTGGCTTTTATCTATTTTTTGAGTTTTTTAAATTTTTTTCTAGAAAGACCAAATATACCAAAAGCTCAGTGACCTTTTTATTGTATAATGGTCATAAAAGTAAATTAGTTTATAGCAAAACATAGTTATAAAAATAATATTAACTATTTTTAATATTCATTTAAACGTCCGTTATGGTCGTGACAGGATTTTGTGTTTTTCTACTAAAGATGCTCTTTAAAAAGAAAACTACCAAAGATATTGCATTACCATGGACATTTTATGAAACTTCAAATGTTAATGAAATAAAAATAATAATAAAAGTTTTGAAAAAAGGGGAAAAAAATTTGCAAAGTGCTTTTCCTGAAAACGTACGTTTTTAAATTTTCACTCTTGTACCATATTTCTAGATATTAGAATATGCTAACTACGTTGCTAAAAGATGTAGGCTATCAGTAATTGTTGTGTAAACCTTGACAAAAATTAATTATTAAACAATGAGACATAATGTGACCTTGTTGAGGTCAAAGAGAAACCTTAAGTGGTCATATACTATTCATAATTTGGCATTTTCAAATACAAGTCTTACTTATCTTGTACAACAAAGACTTATTGTAGGCTATAACTCTGGATTATAAATGCTAACATTCCTCAATAGTAATTTTGAATGGTATATTTTGTCTTAATACAATAGATCCTCAATAATAACCGACTTACTTTAGAGGAAAAAACACTGCTCAATCTACCTGTACAAAACTTTGGCGATTTAATTTCTTCATCAATTCACTTTCAAATAAAATAATTTTCTTTACCTGGAATGAAAAAGTATGATGAATGGGTTCCTTTTAATTATTTATAAACTAGCAGAGTACCCGTTCTTCGTACGGGGTTGGCATATAAGTATCAAATGCTTATAGCAGTTATGAGTGAGGACATGGTTTAAGAAATTTCGGTTCTTTTTGAAGTTCGTTCGCTACGCTCACTCACCTTTAGGTTGGAGCTCGTTCGCTGCGCTCACTTTCCTTCAGGTTAGCTCGTTCGCTACGCTCACTTGCCTTCAGGTTAGCTCGTTCGCTACGCTCACTCGCCTCCAGGTTGAAGTTCGTTCGCTACGCTCACTCACCTTTTGCTGTTGTCATAAATGTAAAAGAAATAATAGTGCTAGTGCTGCACCCTGTTGGTAATCC